TTTAAAGATACATTATGGCAGATAAGATAAAGAGATGGCAGTTCTCACTGTAATAGTTAAAAACTAGATTATGTGAAGGATATTTGCTGAAAATTTCAGTCAAATTGATCCACTCTGAACCAAGATTTTAGAGATTGAATTTTTGACCTATTGCAAGTCTTTAATTAGGCCTGAAATGTTATATAAATTATTAATTAGACATTAATTAACTGATCCAGGCCATAATCAACTCTCGATGTCATCGCTAGTCTCCGATATTTACTGGATTTGAATACATTTTATGATGGATGATTTAACGTCAAAATGGATAATCAAGACTTTGTTTTATTGTACCGACTTTAAGATGATCAAGGCTAGCCCTAAAATTCAATTGCTAATAATATCTTGGTTCAGAGTGGAGCATATTTCAGCATATTCTATTTACGTTATCTAATTTAGCGAGCACTGTCAGCTCTTTATCTCTAATCTCCCATAATGCCCCTTTAATTATTGACCATAGGTAGAGATGAATACAAACACACCTAGTTTAGATTGGCCATGTTTTCTAATGTCATGATTTTGATGATTATTTCCAGCACCAGAATTTGATGCCGTATATATTAAGATGTGATGTAGATAGAGTTAAGTCCCTTATCAATGGTATGGAGTTGGAACCTAACTCGACCACCAATCAGAAGTTATTAAAGGATATATTGGGTGAATATTGTGATGGTAATCGTAATATTATACACATGACAGTAGCTATGTGTGTACCATCATCAAATAAAGACTATGATGCAGGTTGGTATATAGTCACATCATTCCTCTGTAGTTGAAAACTTTCAATCTCAATTATTCAGTCATATTGAGTCTGTGAGTTGAGTACTGTGGTTTCGATTCCCCGCTTGAATGTAACAAGGAGTAGGGTCACCTGTCCAACCTTGTGGGTTTTCTTTGGGTCCTCCCGTTTCCTCCCACTGCTAAAGCACCCAAAGCGCAAGCGAATTATTGAAATAAAATTGAACCATGTGCTAGTCCTGAAATGACCTAGTTTGTGTCGAGTGGATGTTAAGCCCCATTTCTCTCCTCCCTCTCTCTCTCTCTCAATTATATTGACTAATCGTTACGAAAGTTATATCCATCTAAAGTAAACTCCTTTCCATTCCTTACCCCAAACTAAGGAGTATTTGGTGTTCAACAGATTTATTAAATTCTTGACGGTGGAATTCTAAAACAGACCTGTGAAAGGTTATATAGCATTTGTGGAGCCATATCAGCTGAGTGTGCAGGAGTTCCTTGGTGTCGATCTTAAGGATTTTTCAGGGTGGTTTCCCAATGTCAGTCATGCAAGGGCCTGGCAAGGAACAGTGTTTAGTCGTTTGGTGAACACGTAAAAGAACGCTTGACAATTTGATTTTGACATCTGGTGCAGAACAGTAGGAGATTCAAGCCTATTTCATTACATAGATATAATCTGTGATCTCAGATGGCATCTGTCCACTATACTTTGTACCATATTTAACTATGAAGTGTTCTAATAACTTGTTTTATGGTAGATACAGCATCCAGCAGTACATTTACATCCACTTTAGAAGCTATTAATATGGAAGCTTTATCATGTGGTAGAGAGAACAGCAGTCGAAGGTTAGTTATTTATATTCTGTATTTGTTGGGTCGGGATAGGGGTCTGTTGGTTTCTTTACAAGGCTGTTATTGGTCCCCTCCTCCATTCAACAATATTGGTTTCGTTACAAAGCTCTTAGGTTTATAATTAGGGGCAAAGATATTTGCTTATGCAATAAATAACAAGTGAAGAATATGCCATTGTATCAAGAAATGAATATATACTAGCAGTCAGTTCTTCAACTGTCACCTTCACTTGGTTGTTACATTTGAAATTATAAACAGGAACCCAGGCCACGAAACGTTTAGGTCAAAACTTCACATAGAGATTGAAGGATTGTATTGACCATTACGTTGCTGTATTGTTCATATTGACCATTACATTAATTATTGATCATATTGACCATTACATTACTGTTCATATTGAGCATTATATTTCTGCATTGTACATACTTACCATTACATTTGCTGTATTGTACATATGGACCATTACATTCCTGTATGTTTATATTGACCATTACTTTCCTGCATTGTTTATATTGGCCATTACTTTCCTATATTATACGTATTATGTTTTCAGTATGAGTGTAAGGGAGCTGATAAGAAGAGCCTCTTCCACGTCACGTGAAGTACGAGATCCAGTAGCCGACGATGGGGGATTAATCCCTGCCCCAACCTGGTCACCTGACCCGCCGTCCTACGAATCAATCAGATCAGGTGAGACTTATATGATCGTTGAATCTCAGCCCTAATATTCTAGTTATGGGTAGAGGGGAAACAGGGGTAGATACATATGGTTGAAGTGATTCAGCTGGAAAATAAATTTGTGGTTGTATGAAAGTTATGTGGGCATAACACCAGATAGCTAACCATAGCAGCTACAATAATAAACTTCTAGAAACTTTCTCAATGCCAATATTCAAATGCTGAGATAAATTAAGATATTTGACTGATTTACTAAAACATTGGCATTTTTAAGGTTTGGGACACCATATTGAAAGATCTGGTTAATATTCATGACTTCAGAATTCATTTTTTTTATTAAGAGTGCTGTTTTAATTCGGGGCACTTTGAATTTTTCTAAAAGTGGATGATCAGAGTAGGTGTCGTTATTATCTATCTTTCATTACAGCTAATATTTTTATAATTTATGCTGAAGACGGTTAATATAGTTATTATAAACTTATCCAATCGTAGTTTACATTGGATTACTACCGCAGTCTTGCTTCTATCTGGTTGCTATGGTAATGTTATTTGGGTTTGGTTACAGTAGTAATGTTTGATAAGTTAGCTGTGTAATTTTGTTTGGTTTTCTGTGGCGTTGAATTTTGGTAAAGTTGTGATGGAAGAGGGATAGTTTTATAATGGTTTGGGTTAACATGTTGTTAACATTTGTAACATATATTGCAAATTTTTGCTTACTATTTCCAAAAAGATTGAATATTTCTGGGGTTTTGTTAATGTCACATGAAATATAACATGTTAGGAATGTAGTTGCTATACTAACATTTTTGGGCGTTGTTATGGTAATGATATGATGACAAGGTGTCATTTGTATCTAAAGGTGACACTCAGAGACCAAACGTCATGAGATCATCGTCAAGCCCCGCCCTCACTAGTTTAAGTTTACAAGCCGAGCTTTCAACCTTGTCTCTTCCACCAGTGAAACTAGAGGATAAAGAAAGAAGACGGAATGCCGTGGAGATTCTCCGTATCCTGTGTGAAAGCTCTGTTTTACAACCGCATCTAGAACAACTCCTCACTGCCAAGTAAGTATTTAAAGAGACATTTATCTTTATTTAACATACATTATACAAGAGCTAAATCTCCCCATTACATGTCTTCCTTTAGGCCTGAAATGTTATGAATTATTAATTAGACATTAATTAAATTACCAAGACCCTAATCAACTCTCGATGCCATCAGATGCCTGCGATATTTAGTGGATTTGGATAATCAAGACTTTGTTTATAATCGTATTAATGATTAAGGCTAGCCAATAATTATATCACTGATTCCTTGACTCAGAGTGAAGTAATTTGACTGAAATTTTCATAATATTCTCTTTTCATTTTTTTTTTTTTTAAACTATTATAGAGAGAACTGTCAGCTCTTTATATAATCTTCCATGATGCCACTTAAATCTTTAATTTCAGTATTAATACTGAAACATCAAAGAAAACACTTTTATAGTTCCTTGAACATAAAATGTCTTCATTGGCATGGTGCAGAAATTGTAGATTGTTAAACACAGATTTCATTTCTATTTCCTAAAACATAAACAGCCAACTTATCTTTCTTAATTCTTTTCAGGAATGCGGAAGGTTGTACTCCGTTTATGCAGGCTGTTTGTGGTCGTGCATATTCAGCTGGAATTATAGTAATGGATGCAGCAAAACGTGTGGCTACATCACATAATAAATCTAAAGATACAAAAGCTGTACTGATGAAGATGTTGTATCCCAGTGGTTCTAGTCTGGATAATTCACCTCTACAGGTCATCTGTTGTAATGATACATGTAGTTTCACATGGACTGGTGCTGAACATATAAATCAGGTAAGTAGTTAGTAGGGTACTTCGTTAAAAAGACAGTCAAAAGTTACCTCCCCATAAATATGAAGGAGATAATTCCCCTCTACAACTTATCCCATAAGTATTTCCTGTGAGAATATGAAGAAATGATAAAGAACTGAAATCCTTGGGAGATAACTATCCACTACAGACCATCCTTTGTTATGCCTTGGTTGTACATGACAAGGAGTAGGGTTGCCTGTCCAACCTCGTGGGTTTTCTCCAGGTCCTCTGGTTTCCCCCCACTGCTAAAGACCACTACATGAAGGCAAATTATTGAAATAAAATTGAACTATGTGTCAGTCCTGAAATGACCTAGTTTGTGTCGAGTGGACGTTAAACCCCATTTCTCTCTCTCTCTCTCCCTCTTTTGTTATGATACAGGTAATTTCATAATAGATTAATCAGGTTTGGCATGTAGTTTGCAGGGTACTTTCCCAGTAAACAGTTAATATCCAAGTAATTTCTTAAAACTTGGTGCAATTCTTGGATTGAAAATACCAGCACTTTTAGCTTCCAAACTTTTAAAATGTGTGCTCCAGGACAGTGTTATTCATTGTTTTTCTTTTAACTTGGTTTTATATCAAGCACAGTTGACTTTGTGGCTGGTCATTATGTTTATAAAACATCTGGTTTGTTGCAATTTGAAGTAAGACCCTGTTCTTTTTATTACAGGATATATTTGAGTGTAGAACATGTGGTTTGACCGGGACACTGTGTTGTTGTACAGAATGTGCTAAAGTTTGTCATAAAGGACATGACTGCAAGTAAGTTATTAATCACAATTTTATTAACATATATTTATCATAAAGGACATGACTTTGTCATAAAGGACATGACTGCAAGTAAATTATAATCACGATATTACTAACATTATTAAATTTGACATAAAGGACATAACTGCAAGTAAGTTATTAATCCCAATATTACTAACAAAATTATATTTGTCATAAAGGACATGATTGCAAGTAAAAATTGTTGACTTTTCAATTACGATATAAAATATGCGAAGACGTTGCTGTCCATGCAAAATTTCTGTCATAGCACATTGCATGGTGTATGCCCGTCCTCATTAGCCAAGTTTGTTTTTTTTCTCTTGGTCCTTCAGTTTCCTCCCACTGCTAAAGACCCATATGCAAGATGAAATTATTGAAATAGAATTGTACCATGTTAGCGTGGAGTGGACGTTAAACACCATCTCTCTCTTTCCTCCATTAGCTCGGTGAAGAAAATTAGAACGGTAAAACCCAATTCATTTCACAAACTATTGAAATAAAATGGGATTTAACATCCTACTGTTCTGCGCCGACTAGGCTAATGAAAACGGGCATACACCATACAGTGGGCTATGAGGGAAATTTTGCCCGCACAGCGACACTACAGCCTACTTTTATATTGAATTCCAAGGAATATTTTACATGCACGCCAATGTGTACATTGGACCTCGGTTTTTCGTTCCATTCAAATGACTATGTATTGTTCCTTGCCAGGTCCTCTGTCTTGCCCCACTGACAAGGGGAACCACACTGGAAAATGACGAACACGGAACCTCCAGTTTAAGCCAATGTCCTACTCACTGATCCATCGTGGCTCCCATTATATACTATTGATGATTTATTATAACATGATTGACATGTATTTACAGGTTAAAGAAGACATCACCAACAGCATATTGTGATTGTTGGGAGAAATGTAAATGTAAAGCATTGATAGCTGGTCAACAGGGAGCTCGTAGCACCTTACTTAGTCGTCTATTGATAGAAACAGATCTAGTCACCTTACCCAATAGCAAGTAAGTTTCCATTGTGTTATATCGAGCTAGAGGAAGTCAAAGTGTCAATATGTTCCAAGTTCGAATCCCGGGGTGGTACCCCGGGGGGCTGATAAGGAAAGTGTGTTGAATCGTTCAGATGGGATATAAATGAAATTAAATGAAATGAAATGGGGTTTAACGTCCTACTGTTCTGCTCCTAAACTGAGCTAATGAAGACGTGCATACGCCATTCAGTGTGCAATGAGGGAAATTTTGCCCGGGCACCGGCACTACTGCCTACTCTTATATCGAATTCCAACTGCCAAGGGATCTTTTACGTGCATGCCAATGTCTACATGGGACCTCGATTTTTCGTACCATCCGAACGACTAGACAGCTGTCCCTTGTCAGGCCCTCCGTCCTCCATCACTGTCAAGGGGAAACCATGCCGGAAATCTGGATAAACTTTCTCGGCCAATGCAGGGATCGAAAAACCCGACCTCCAGGCTAGCGAGCCAGCGTCTTACCCACTTAGCCACCGTGATGGGATATAAGAAAGCGGGGTACCAACATATACACATTGATCAGCAAATTGAAGAAGATTACACAGAAATACCTCTGTTCAGTAAACTCCCCTCCCTTGCATTGAACATATCATCAAGAAAATGAACATTACCATATTGTAATCTCTAAAGTATTGTATTAAGGAGACATTCAACACCATTCCATTTAAATCCTAAGTCATACAAATTTATAATGGTTTTCTAGTATTTTAACGAAACATTTATTGTTGATATTTTTAGGGGTGAGAATATTTTATTGTTCCTAGTACAGACTGTAGGAAGACAGTTAACAGAACAACGTCAGTTTCGCCCTTCAAGATCTCGAGTAACTAGCTCACGGAAACCACCTATAGCTGCTGAAATGGGTAAGTTTCCTCTATTTTAAAGATATGTACCTTTGAGATTCAAGGTTTTAATCATGTAGATTAAAAGATATATCTCTTTTTCCAAGAATATTTGCTGCTCCAAAAATATAATTTTTGATTAGGAGGCGGGAGGAGGAGTCTTTCCTGTTTCAAAAGGTGAATGAGTAAATGACTCATGTGGTTATCTAATTACAAGGTTCAGCCGTTTTAATCCTAAAATTGGCCGTAATTGTGTTTAGACCAGATAGCCACCAAACTAAATTCTGGGCCCTTACTCACGAAAACTTAAACCAAGATACAATCGAAATTTTAAGAAATACTGCAATTCGATTGGCTGACCAGTAAAATCAATTTGCATATATCCAATTTGCATATTGGCCAGCCAATCGAATTGCAGTATTTCTTAAAATTTCGATTGTATCTTAGTTTAAGTTTCCGTGAATAAGGGCCCTGATCACTTAATATTTTTATATTGTATTTTTTATAACAGATATAGAAATGCCTGAACATGATTTGGAGCCACCAAGGTTTTCCCGTCGAGCTCTGGAGAGAATACTCAATGATTGGACAGCTGTTAAAGCCATGTTGATGAGTGGTGAAAAAGATTCCTCAAGGTAAATAGAAGGATAAAGTTGCTCAATAAGTCTAGATTTTAACTAGGATGAGGTCCAAATCCTGACGGGCCGAAAACTATCTTCTTGATTTGTCAGGGGTGGTATTTGAAAGGCTGACAAAGATACTATGACTTTGGGAAGGGACGCAAAAAAGAAACAAGCTCCACTCATGTACATGTTCACATTGTACACTTATTGGAACCTTTAAAAGTTGGAAATATATATATGGAATAGTAGGCTTAAACTACGTTGCCTGATGCTGTTTAAATGTTATTTTATAACTTAAATGACCTTTTTTCATAGTGCTAATATAATGCCTGAAAAACTGTTTCAATGGAATACAATTACTGTTTATTACTGAGCGACGTTTCGACTCGGCTTCTCTAGTCATTATCAAGCTAGGGGGGTTGGATGGCTGAATGGTTAGCGTGCGCGCGCTGTATCATAAAGTCTGTCATTGAGTCGACTGGCGTGGTTTCGAATCCCCGGTTGTACGTGACAAGGAGTAGGGTCGCCTGTCCAACCTCGTGGGTTTTCTCCGGGTCCTCCGGTTTCCTCCCACTGCTAAAGACCCCTACGCGCAAGCGAATTATTGAAATAAAATTAAACCATATGTTAGTCCCGAAATGACCTAGTTTGTGTCGAGTGGACGTTAAACCCCATTTCTCTCTCTCTCTCTCTCCATTATCAAGCTATGATAATGACTAGAGAAGCCTAGTCGAAACGTCGCTCAGTAATAAGCAGTAATTGTATTCCATAGAATTGTGATCTGTATATAATGCCTGAAGCTGTTTAAATGTTATTTTATAACTTAATGGCTTTTTTTTATAGTCCTGATATGTCTGATGCTGTTTGAATGTTATTTTAACTTAATTGTTTATTATGTTTTTATAGTCCTGATATAATGTATGAAGATCAGATGTTTCTACACTGTCAGAGTGGTACAGCTAGACTTGATAAATTTACACATTGTTTACTCGTTAAATGTAGCTTTGAGGTAAGTAAGGACTTCCAGTCGTAGGTAGAATTAAACTGTTTCTGTCGTTTACAGTCAGGTCTAAAAACATCTTAAAGAAATGTTTGTTTCAATGACCTGATAGCTTGAACTGTCATTTACACATTTGATGTGACCACTACAAATAAGCTACATATTCTTAAGAGAAACCAGTTATTAATTACTACTGTCAAACGTAGGTCAAGACAGCCATTGAGGACAATGCTGGCTCACTAACCAGACGGTCCTGTATTTGACACCGATGTTGGCCAAGAAAGACAGCCATATGCCGTAAAGTGTTCTATGAGGGAAATTTTGCCCGGCCTACTCTTATGTCGAATTCCAACTGTCAAGGGATCTTTTGCACGCATGCCAGTGTGTACACAGAACTTGTTTTTTCGTCCCATCCAAACGACTAAACATTGTCCCTTGCACCTGCAAAAGAACATTGTGTAGTTGAGATGAAAAAATAAAGTCCCAAGTACACGTTGGGTGTATACATAAAGGAACCTTTGCCAGATGGGATTTAACGAAGAGTAAGTACATTGAACCCTTTCCTTTTCATCCTTGAACTTAGTTATTTTTTTCTGTCTTAAAGATGTTGGACACTCTACTGACAACATTAATCCGAGAAATACAGAATGAAAATACAGCCAATCGTAAAGATGAAGCTAAAAAGGTTGCAAGGAGATTTGTTCGATCTGTGGCCAGAGTGTTTGTGGTATTGAACGTTGAGATGACACCAAACTTCATCAAGAAACGAAAGTAAGTTTTTGAAAGTTAAAAGGAATTTTAAAGCAATACATCCTAAGTAACTTAAAATAAGTAGACCTTGTTGATTTTATATGTAAATTGGTTTTGTGGTATGGCAATCTGTCTTTGCTGAAATTTTATGTCTCTGTTTCCACCCACTGCTAAAGACACCTAAAAAATGTTATTTGAGTTTAAAAACTTGAAAATATGAAATTAAAAGCTGTTGAGAAGAGCTACCCAAGTAATTTTGGTTTAACCAAGAAATAGAACACAAAATTTGAATAGATATACACAAAGAACAAAAGTTGAAATTGTATTGATTATGTGCTAAACCCCATTCCTTATTGACTAGGGGGTGTTGAATGGCCGAATGGTTAGCACCTGCGTGCTATATCATAAGGTCTGTCATTGAGTCAACTGGCATGGTTTCGATTCCCCGGTTGTACATGACAAGGAGTAGGGTTGCCTGTCCAACCTTGTGGGTTTTCTCCGGGTCCTCCGGTTTCCTCCCACTGCTAAAGACCCCTACGCGCAAGCGAATTATAGAAATAAAATTGAACCATATGTTAGTCCAAAAATGACCTAGTTTGTGTCGAGTAGACATTAAACTCCATTTCTCTCTCTCTCTCCCTTATTGCCTACAGATATTTCTTTATTTAATAAGCACTTTCCAAGGGTTTACAAGAATATTGGTCTGGTTGTTCCGATTGAAGTATTGTCTTGATGAGTCATCGTACAAGAACCCTTTCTCTACCTCGTATTGCATGCACAAAGATTAAACTATTCCTTTCGCAATTCAGTTTTACTAAGTGTAAATATTTTTTGTGATTTTCAGCGCTGGTATTACAGGATGTCAACCTATAACTAAATGTAAACGTGTGTTTCAAGCATTAATACACCTGTCTATAGAAGAACTAAGTGAGATAGCGAACTCATTGATATTACCTGTCAGGATGGGTGTGGCTAGACCTACAGCACCCTTTTCTCTAGTCAGTGCTAGTCTTGATGCATTTCAGGTAAATATTTGATAGAAGTCAGGTATAAAGCGCTAAGGGTAGGGGAGTAGGTATGGTCATACAATATTGGAATGGTCAACCCCCTCTGATATTGGCAATGGGTAACCCTTTGGTTAAGATTATTTCTTAAAATACCTTAAAAACAATTAAAACAATATGGGTTTCTGTGCAATATTACAAAATTAAAAAAAAAATTGTGATATTCTGATACTATGTGATCAAGATTTGTGCATCCTGGGTTAAGCTTTCATCACCATTTTGAAGTAGTTTTTGACTAATTATGAAATTTCCCATTTTGATTTTAGGGAAGCGAAGAATTATTTAATGTTGATCCCTTACCACCACGACCCTCATCAGCTGATTCTAGTAGCCAATCGCTGTCTTTTATTAGTAGTCGTCATCACCCAGCACCTGTTAGTGAAGATCATGCCCAGAATCAGCATAGTTTAAACTTGTCTACAGCAGATCCAGAGGTTTGTCAATAATCCACATATCGTCTTGGTGTATTTTTTTAAAATAATCCATTTCGAGTACAATTTAGTATGGTGGTTCCGGCCTTTTCAGTGATGCAGGACGGCGGACCTGACAAGGACAGCTGTCTAGTTGTTCGGATGAGGCGGAAAACTGAGGTTCCGTGCACACATTGGCGTGCATGTAAAACTGTTGGAATTCGATATAAGAGTAGACCGTAGTGCCGCTGTCCGGGCGAAATTTCCCTCATAGCATACTGTATGGCGTATGCCCGTATTCATTTGCCCAGTTCGGAGCAGAACAGTAGGACGTCAAACCCAATTTCATTTCATTTACATTTTAGTATGGATTAAGCTGTGAAAAAATTAGATAGTGTCCATAAAATACAAATTGCTATCATTGGCTTTAATCTTTCGAAAGTCAAATTTCGTCACTAATCTCTATATGGAAAGATCTTAGACTTTTTAGATCAGACAGATTTTTATGACAAATTAGATGTTTGTAGCAGACTAAACCGGGTTGGTGCCGGCGTGTCATTTAACACCATTTCATTCATTTGTTCTGTCACTAATCCAGCTAATCTGATTCAAGCATCTAGATCAAACAGGGTTAGCTCCAATCTGATTAAAATATAGATCTATATTTCGTTTCGTTTTTTTATACTTTCGATGGCCTACACTACATAAAGATCTTATCAGTTGTACTGGAAGGTCACGTCAGGGGTCAGACGAGCGGCATTTGAACCCATGACGTCAGACATTGATTAATCAATCAGTGTTGATGTTTCTAGTGGTTTACCCACAGTTCCGTGCATTGCACGCCAAGAACTCGCTGTAACAGACCATTTCATTGGCTAATCCCTCACTTGAACCAGATCCTAGTGTTGTGAAGACAAATAAAACGAAAGGAGATAGGATCTGTGTTTTAATCAGATTGGGTTCACTCCTTTAAATGAATCTAAAATTATTATGGTAAATAAACGGAATTATGCTTCTTCATTTGAAGCAAAAATTTATGTCATTCACTAAGCCAATCACTAATCTGATTCAACACCTACATCAAACCGGTTTAGCTCCTTGAAACGAAACTAAAATTATTAAACAAATGGATTTCTGCTTTTATCTTTCGAAATACAAATTTAAGTCATTCAATTGCTAATTCAAACCACTAATCGGATTTAGAACCTAGATCAAAACAGGTCCAGCTCTTATAACTCTGTGTTTGATCTGTATATAACCAGGTTGAAGTTGTGGATGGTATGGGAGGTGAAGATGACCAATCAGAACATCACTCAGACAGAGATAACCAATCAGAACACCATTCTGATCGTGACAACCAATCAGAACACTCAGATCATGAAGCAGATCATCCACCACCTGATCCAGAAGAAGGTTTGTTGAGCTGGTTTTTACCCTTTTTTTTTGGTATCCAAAGCCTGGTGGGTGCAGAAAAGTAAGACAATAATATAATGTGGCACCATATACAACGAAATTATTATCAAATCAAGAGGATGGATTTGACAGATCCGGTTGGTTTTTTTTTGCACAATCTCATCACGAATTCCCTGCTGAAATACTAACAGGGTTTTCAGATGCCCACCTCTATGGTTTATAGTTTGAAATGCTATCTTTGCAGTACTTTGAAAATACTCTGAAGCGTTAGAGTTGCATTTTAGTTGAAATTTGTATTTATTTTATGTTGGTCTGACCCACAGGACCTGCTGAGAGTGATATGGATTTAGATCTATTGGCTGAATCTGAGAGCGATAGTGATAGTAGTCATAGCAACCAGGATAATGTCAGTATTCAACGTAGTGCTGTTACTGCAGCAACTGCTGGATCAGATGCAGGTGAGTTTATTTATTACCTGTTTTACTGTCAAGAAGGAAATCTTCTCAAATGAGAAGTTGTATCGGATGTTCTAGTGTGTAGACATGCCTTGTGCATGACACTATCCTACAAAACTCAACTAGACTGTAATTTAGATTGTTTTTCTTTTTTATTTTGTGTTGTTGGAGAGAGAGAGAGAGAGAGAGAGAGAGAAAAATGTCCACTTGACACAAACTAGGTCATTTTGGGACTAACACATGGTTCAATTTTATTTCAATAATTCGCTTGTGCGTAGGGGTCTTAATCAGTGGAAGGAAACCGGAGGACCCAGAGAAAACCCACGAGGTTGAACAGACGACCCTACTCCTTGTCACATACAACCGGGGAATCGAAACCCCGCCAATTGACTAAATGACAGACCGTATGATACAGCGCGCACGTGCTAACCATTCGGCCATCCAACTACCCTGGGGTCTGCTGCATCAGCTGTGTAGTTGTTGAGTCAAATTGTCATATTGACACTTTAAATGATCTAATTATCCATCAGCTGTGTTGTTGTTGAGTCAAGTTTGTCATATTGACCCTTTAAATGATCTAAGTATCTCAGAACATCATGGCTTTGATTTCATTTATACAGGTCTCGGCAGTTTGGCTCATTTCTCAGAAGATTCGGCTGAATCATCTAATCAAGAGGATGATTATGAAAGTGAAGCGGGTGAAAGTGAAGAACATGATACAGATGAGTTTGTGTATTTAGATGAACAGTTAGAGAGACGTTCTACGCAACCTACAGGTAACACTATCTCACTTTTCAGACTGCCCAAAACTACCCTTAGACCCCCTCCCCAAACAGCCTAGTCATGTGAAGAGCTTTTGCGCCACACAGTCATAGAAAACAAACAACTGTTCACAACACTCAGGGAGGTTGGCTGTCCCCAGATATACCGATATGAACTATATTACTTTTCTTTTAATTTTCTTCAAGCATCATGGCTTATTCCATACCAAAGTGCACAAGCATTCAACTACAATCATTGATGTTACTTCTGAGCCATCTCCATAAAGGAAATTAAACAAACGTAATTCACATAAGATTTCCCACAACTCATTTGCCATAAAATTATTTAAAATAACAGTTGAATTTTAAATAAAATATTTGAAAGAGAAGAAAGTTGACATGATCTGAACGCAACATAAAAAAATCAAATATGACATAATTCACATCAGATTGCCCATAACTTCAATTTGAAGGTGTCATTACTGAAAAAGAGTAATTGCATAGTTTTAAATTTCTAGGTGTCTGATGCAGGACGGAGGGCCTGACAAGGACAGCTGTCTAGTCGTTCGGATGGTTACGAAAAACAGATGTCCGATGTACACAATGACGTGCACATAAAAGATCCCTTGACAGTTGGAATTCGATAATAGAGTAGGCCGTAGCGCCACTGTCCGGGCAAAATTCCCCCCATAGCACCCTGTATGTCTTATGCCCGTCTTCATTAGCCCAGTTCAGAGGAGAACAGTAGGATGTTAAACCCCATTTAATTTCTAAATGTCTGATTAATTTTCTTTAATATATGTTTACAGGGTCACAAGGACAGAGAACTCTACAAGCACCTCAATCTATGCACTGGGCATTACGTCAACGTGACCCCCCTAGTTCCAGACCACCACCAACTACTAATACAACCACAGCTACAGGTACAGTAGATTTAAAATCAGTTTGAAAAATTATGATTTGGAATGTTTATAATATAAACTTTTGTCATTTTGTCCATCAGCAAACTGTTTTGCATTCTTATAAACGATAACTAGCCTACTTTTTAGTTAAACACACATTTTGCAAGATCTAAATCTGCCTATTTACTGAATTATGATCCGATTTTTATCGTACCGACTTTAGTAATGATGATCGAGGCTAGGCTGAAATTTCAATTCTCAGTTCATAGTGGATCAATTTGACTGAAATTTTAAGCAAATTTCCTTTTTTAACTATTGTAGTGAGAACTGCCAGCTCTTTATCTAATCTCCAATAATGTATCTTTAAGTTAGAAAAATTATGATGTAGAATGTTTATAAGGTAAATGTTCATCTTTCGTGCCATGGCAAGCTGTTTAAATCAAATGGATTTTGAAGAATATTTCAATATATTTTTTAGGTGGAAGCAGTTTGATATACATTGATCCCACAGCTCTACGCAGGACTACTGCTGTCACAACTTCTGCACCAACCAATCAGGATAAAGCTGTTACTATGGAAACAACAGCCAGCCAATTAGGTCGGGCATTTGGTATTGTAGTACGACAGATAACAGACTTAATGAACATGTTACCCAACTACTCAACACTGGCGCCCAATTTACCCCGTGTGCTGGACATACTCGATAATGACATCATTGAATTACAGGTAACATTAAAATTTCATTCAAGAGCAGAAAAGTTGATTATTGTCTTGAGGTTGCAGACAAAAATAAAATTTTATTACTTGATTATAAATAAAGTAGTATAGATTCTGATATGGTTCTGCATGCTTCAAACACACATGGGGGGTTGGATGGCTGAATGCTTAGCACATAGCGTTGTATCATAAGGTCTGTAATTGAGTCAAAGTGGCATGGTTTTGATTCCCCTGTTGTACTTGACAAGGAGTAGGCTCACCTGTCTAACCTTGTGGGTTTTCTCTGGGTCCTCCAGTGTCCTCGCACTGCTAAAGACACCTATGCACAAGCGAATTATTGAAATAAAGATGAACCATATGTTAGTCCCGAAATGACCTAGTTCTCTCTCTTTCTCAAACACACACTAAAATCACATGTTTATGTTGTGTTGTACATGTTTACAAACACCAAATAAATATTATAAAAACACAACACAATTTATATGGAAAACAATCAATTTGTTTGAACACATATAGCACAACTTATCGATAAGTGTTCTCTTATTGTAATCTTATCATTTATGCTTGATAACAAATGGAGAATATGTATCGATACGTCGTGCTAAATGTGTTACAAACCAGTGATTGTTGTTCATATAAATTGTGTTGTATTATTTATTGTACTCGATCTTTAAATGCCACTCAAGAATTATAAAGGAAAATTTTAATGCTATTTGGTTTTTTTTCTGTCCACTGTTGGAGCCACGCCGGCTCGCTAGCCTGGAGGTCCTGTGTTCGATTCCTGCATTGGCCGAGAAAGTTCAGCAGGATTTTACAAAATGGTTTCCCCTTGTCAGTGGTGCAGGACGGAGGGCCTGACAAGGACAGCTGTCTAGTTGTTCGGATTGGACAAATAACCAAGCAAAATTTCCCTGTATGGTGTGTACACATCTTTATTAGCCCAGTCGGAGCAGAACAGTAGGACGTTTGACCCCATTTCATTTCATTTTCTGTCCACTGTTCAGTTTTCCTGTATGAATTAAATTTATATTGTAGGTCTATTTGGAGGGTCACATGCATCAAACGTGGGATTGGCTCATCTCAGTTTTAGATACAACTGAAGCTCAGCTACGATTTGGTACAGCTCTAAGTAACACAACTGATCCTGTTGCACCTGCCCATCTACAACATCCTCCACCTAATCGTAATCTTCGGGAACGATCAGCACAGCAACTGGAGACGAGAATCTTACAGCAGATAACCACAACAACGACTGGACGTAGAACTAGATTTGGTGCTTATGGTAACATACATTTGAAAACACGAAATGTGTCCAGATCTGGCTAAATGAAACACATGGGTCAAAAAATGAATGTTTACGTATAAAATTATATTCAAAGACATTAAAATTGGTATATGACATGTGTAATTGTGTTTAAAAGTAACCAGTCTTTGATATACGTCATGATATTCATTTTCAGAAAAAGCTTATTGATAACTAATATCACATGCTTGAAACTGAAAATCAGTGCAGTATCTCAAATAAGGCTCCAACAATATGTGTCTTATTTAGCTAAATTGTTAAGATATTTTTTTTATTTATCAGGCCGTGGCCAACAGATTCGAGTAGCAATATTGTAATTGAAATAAAAAACAAAAAAAAACTTGTCAGGCCTGTGTATAGAGTTAAGCCATACAACAGTATACAAATATCTCATACATGCACGAAAGTGTGAAAAGTTATACTTAATTACTAACAATATGTATATCATAACAAGGTTACAAAAAAAATTACTATTATTAGTGACGTCTTATAAACTAGTGATTAAAGATACATTATGGGAGATTCTATAACGAATTGGCAGTTCTCACTATAATAGTTAAAAACTAAATAACGTAAAGGCAATTTGCTAAAAATTTCATTCAAATTGATCCACTATGAACCGAAAACTAAGCGAATGAAATTTCTGCCTAGCCTCGGTCATTACTTAAGTCAGTACGATAAACAGCATAGTCTCAATTATCCATTTAATTGTTAAATCGAGACGGAAAGTTATGCAGTAAATCGGCTCACAATCCACTTAAGATCGCAGGCTAGCGAGGCCATCTAGAGTTGATTATGGTCTGGATAAGTTAATTAATATCTAATTAATAATTTAGATAGAGTTGATTATGGTCTGGATAAGTTAATTAATGTCTAATTAATAATTTAGATAACATTTCAGGCCTAAAGAAAGACCTATAATAGACAGATTTAGCTCTTGCATAATGTATGTTTAAATTTCTTTTTGGCAATACTTGAGACTACTGGAGCTTCTAATTAATAGGCATATTCAACACTTAGTAAAATGACAAATTGTTCCCACATTTTATCTTTCTCATGATGTACCAAATGTACGTGTCCAATAGGTTATTGCATGATTGATTAGTAAATAGAGAGGCAGGGTGTGAAATGACATAAATGAAAAAGAAGCTCAGCAATGTACCTCATTTCTCAAAAGAGTTGAAGCCTCTGAATCTGTTTTAAGAAAAATTTTCGTACAAAACTCAAGAATAAGCTCAACAGGGTACTCAAAAGAGCCAGAATTTCTGAAATTTGAAGAAAATCTTGAAACAAGAATAAATACTTTCTTGTTATTAAACAATGTGTATTTTTGTATCAGCAGGTACAGATGGTAATTCAGCTCGTCGTGATTTCCTTACCTACGCCCTATCATTGATGAGAGCCCACAGTGCAGAACACTCTGACAGTCTACCCATAATAGACATTGCCGCAATGAAACATGTGGCTTATGTATTTGATGCTCTCATCTACTACATGAGAAGTGGAGCCGAGACAGATCTCGATACAGTCCGTGATGGAATCTCTGTGACCTCTTGGCCTGATCACGAAGAGAATGAGAATGATGAACATGATGACGACACAATTAATAATAGCGTTGCTATGGACACAGATAGCATCGATGGTGAAAATGATGCACTGTCTAAGCTTGGGCGCAAACATCCCTTTTTTCAACGTTCTGACTCCACTACTTTCCTGGGGTGTCCACCACCAGACCCATTCCAAACACCATTAGTAGAAGCTCTACCATTGGCTGATCAACCGCAGCTGCTCCAATCAAATTCTAGACGAGAAGATTTATTTGGGATGGGTAGACAATCTTTTATGACCAAACAGTCAGGGGAAACAATTCAAGGAACAAATCCTTTAGATAAACTATCGAATGTATCATTAGCTACACGAGCGGCAAGGTTATTTTCTGCAGGCTGCGTGAGCTCAGGAAATCAAAACTTACCAAACAGTTCAACCACCAACACACCAACATTCACTATTGGTGCTGGTGCTTTGGGAGCCTCTCGGTCATTGCCTAGCAACCATAATAATAACACCACCATCTTTAATCTGCGCAGTAACACAAGAGATTTTTCAGCATCAGCTGAGGGAGGAAGCGTCATAGTTGGTCTACAAATTCCTCTTCCACCTCTCCCTGTTCCTCCCCAACCAATGAACATACCAACCGATCTGTCTGTCTCAACCCAACAAGCTGTCAATCAGAATGTAGACACACCTACATCAAGTGAATCTCAAACTTCAGGAGCACAACCACCACCACCACCGCTACCTCTAATGGTGTCATCACAATCTGGGTTGTCAGCAGTTTCTCATTCATTTAATGTTTCACCCATCCCTAGTATGCATATTACATCACAGCCCAGTCTGGTCAGTGTCTCTCAATCTCTAGCCACTTCCAACATCCCACTACCGCCTCATCCAAGTCGGGTGACAGTTTCACAGTCTTTGGCAACCTCCAATATCCCGTTACCACCATCTCTTGCCAGCTCTAGCATTCAAATATCAACTCAGTCTGGTCTAGTGACAATCCCACAGTCTCTGGCAAATTCTGGTATCCAATCTCATGCAGCACTAGTAACAGTTCCACAATCTTTGGCCAGCTCCAGCATCCAATTAGCACAGTCACTGGCTAACTCAATCCAACTTGCATCGCCAACTCTGGTTACAGTACCACAATCTTTAGCTAGTTCTGGCATCCAGCTACCAGCGCAGCCTGCTCTAGTCACAGTTTCTCATTCAATGTCAAGCTCACCTAGCCACCATTCTGGTATGGTTACTGTTCCTCAGCCAATCCTGGTTCCACAACCACCAGCTAGTTCTAGTATCCAGATCCTAACACAAGCTACACCTGGTCTACTACCAACACCTCTGCCACTGCTTGCTCCCCCTTTGGGTCCGGCATTACATTCTAGTGATGGTGCGTCTTCAGTACCGATAACTACTCCTATTCTCATTCCGTTCCCTACTACTTTACTCCAGCCACCAGCTCTGTTACCAGTTGTGACACCATCTACATCCAGTGCCCCCACTTCACGACCTTCAGCATCAAGTGTTATAGTACACTTCAGTTCTTCTCAGAGTACTCCAAGTCAGTCAGCAATAACAGAAAGTGAAGAGAACCAGTCAGAAACAAGCATGGACACATCTGGACCTGCAGTAGGTGACAAACCTCCTGCTGCCTCAAGGTAAGAGTTTAGATATGCCAGAGGGAGGAGGTTATTGTCCTGAGTGGTCGCGCTGAAGATCATAAGACGTGTGAGTAGGGTTGCCTGCTTAACATCGTGGGTTTCCTCCACCTTCTAAAGAGCACTGTGCGAAAGCACATTATTAAATCCAATCTCATGTATCTCTCTCTTTCTCTTTAGATGTGCTGATACAATTTTTTTTATTTCACTGATCTGTTTAAGCTGATAATAAACTCGTAATTAAGCCCTTCTGTATAATATATAAGGATCTCGCTATAATAAAGATGTAGTCATGATCAGTGACTTAGTGAAGTTCTTGTGTAATGTTTTGTCGATTTGAAAATGAGTAATTAATTTCAACAGTGATTCTGTTCCCAGTTCTTCAGATGCACCAACACCTCCAATAGAAGGCTCTGATGATATGGTAGGAGCCAATGAAAACGTTTCTAATACAGTTGTCATAGAAACATCCTCAACCTCTCAAAATACTACATCAACAGTCAGGTAAGCATCTTACATTATTAAATGGAATGATGTAATAAATAAACGGGTGTATCTGGGTAAATATGTTACATTATTAATATTAAATGGAATGATGTTATAAATAAAGGGGTATATCTGGGTAAATATGAGAAAAGAGATGAAATTTGTAAATTGTAAAAAATACATTATGGGAGATTAGATAAAGAGTTGGCAGTTCTCACTATAATAATTAAAAACTAGATAATGTTAATGTAAAGGGTATTTGCTGAAAATTTCAGTCAAATTGATCCACTCCTGAACCGAGAATTTAGCAAGTGAATTTTCAGTCGAGCCTTGGTCATCATTACTAAAGTTGGTTGTTAAATCTTATAGATCGAAATGATGTAAAGATCTGATTATAATTGTCAGTTTCGAATTAATAGTTTGATTAAATGTTTGTTAGTCTCAAAATATAGTTGAATTAAATGTTTGTTAAGCAGCATTTACACGATACAACCAATCCATACAACCGTTGGATGCAACATATTGGACAGATGTTGACACGATTACAATGGTTCTATTCGTTGTAGGCCTATGACAACATTTGTTCCTTCTTAGTAACTGAATAAAATAGACCTCAAGGTGACACTTCTCATCCCTGTCCTCTCGTATTTTGGATGCCGCAGGTTCCACAAAGTCCATGTTCCCTATACATTGTATGACATTGTCTAATATAACACACGCAATTTGATTGGCTATTGCATCAGTCCGTCAGATGAGAATAGAACTGGTCCTATCCATACAGCAAGCTATCCATCCAACCATTTGTCTAATGCAGTGATTCTCAACCAGTGAGATCTTCATAAGTGTGTTGCGAAATTTTGAACGGCACACCAAGAAAATGTGAAAATCCACTTGATCCCAATTGAGTATTCACTGGTACGTTCATAGCTGTGTGATTCTTAATTAAGTTTGAGCCATTCTATGTTTCTATGACGAGCCTGTGTCTGCGGTTGTATGCCGTCTATGACTTGCCATGTTTTTATTTTGAAAATTCAGATATTTGTCCCCCGCCTTTCGAAGAAAGCAGGGGACTATTAAAATGGGTTCGTCCGTCTGTCTGTCTGTCTGTCCGTCTGTCTGTCCGTCACACTTTTTGGGACACAATAACTCTCTTCCTAATTGAGCTAGAATGTTCAAACTTGGTGTATGTGTTTATTAGGTCAATACCTTGATGGAGTTCGAAGATGAGCATTTTCCGCTTAGGGTAAGCAGAGATAAGCAATTTGATTGGTTGATGCTTTGGGACACGATAACTCTCTTCCTAATTGGACTAGAATGTTCAAACTTGGTGTATGTGTTGATTAGGTCAATGCCTTGATGGAGTTCGAAGATGAGCATTTTCCGCTTAGGGTAAGCAGAGATAAGCAATTTGATTGGTTGATGCTTTGGGACACAATAACTTTTAATTGAGCTAGAATGTTCAAACTTGGTGTTTGTGTTTATTAGGTCAATGCCTTGATGGAGTTCGAAGATGAGCATTTTCCGCTTAGGGTAAGCAGAGATAAGCAATTTGATTGGTTGATACTTTGGGGCACGATAACTCTCTTCCTAATTGAGCTAGAATGTTCAAACTTGGTGTATGTGTTGATTAGGTCAATGCCTTGATGGAGTTCGAAGATGAGCATTTTCCGCTTAGGGTAAGCAGAGATAAGCAATTTGATTGGTTGATGCTTTGGGACACGATAACTTTAGTTCTAATTAAGTGAGATTGATGAAACTTGGTGTATAGTTTCATTACAGTAATACCTTGACTAAGTTTGATAATGAGCATTTTCTGCTCAGGGTAAGCAGAGCAATACGCAATTTGATTGGTCGAGACTTTGGAAAACAATAACTCTCCTACTTTGATTGTTAGACTATAAGTAAAGATATACTGTTTGATTGTTCAATACTTTGTAAAAGATAATTTGTGATAAATTTATATGTGTCCTCTAATTATTTTCCTATTTCGGCGGGGGACATCAGCCTCACTGTTGGCTTGTTTTCATATATATTTAGCCAGGTGTGCCGCTATTTTTTCGTGTGCTCTAAAGTGTGCCGTTGCCTAAAAAAGGTTGAGAATCACTGGTCTAAAGACTAAAGAGTTGGTCGGATGTATTGTAAACGCCGCTTTAATCTGAAAATGATATTTTAATTTCAGGCCAGCAAGTATATTAGGTGAGATGATACCACATGATATACTATTGGGACGATGGAGACTAGCTCTAGATTTATTTGGTCGCGTCTTCTGTGATGATGTTGGGTCTGAGCCAGGCTCCGTGATCAGTGAACTTGGAGGATTTCCTGTAAAAGAAAGTCGCTTTCGACGTGAGATGGAAAAATTGAGGAATACCCAGCAACGGGATTTTACTTTGGAGGTGAGGGAACAAACCTACTGATTGGGAGTGGGTGTATGGCTTGTAATGTAGCGAACTAACCTATTGAGAGGGGGTTGTCGAATGGTTTTCTGTCATTGAGTCAAGTGGTGTTGTTTCGACATCCATCTTGTATGTGACAAGGAGTAGGGTCGCCTGTCAAACCTTGTGGGTTTTCTTTGGGTCCTCCGGTTTCCTCCCATTGGGGACATGGTGTATAGCTTGTTACTATTATGTAGGGAACAATCCCTATGATGGGGGAAAGGGTGTCCAAGGTTTAATTATTACCATGCAAAGAGTTATCTATTTTTTTCTTTGTGTTGGTCGAGAAAGTTCCTCAAGATTTTGCAGCATGGTTTCCCCATGTCATTGGTGCAGAGCCTGACAATGAACAGTGTGGAGTTGTTCAGATTGCCATATGTTTAATTAAAGACAATTATCACTTAAAAGGAATGACATTAATGGTTGATAAAATCAATGAATTGGAACAAGACATTTTTGTTCTATAGAAGACTGAACTGGTCGCCTAAAATTTATAGATCTGTGTTTATTACTGACATAAATTTGAATACCGTACGGGAATTAAAAATGAAAAATAACGAGGTGCCCCTATTTTTTATTACATACGAATTTAAATATTTTGTTGACACATGATTTTTGTGTGTGGTCTAAAACTGCCTGCTTAAATAACGATAAGAGTTATGTCCCTTTATTTTCTGTAAAAATGTCTGACAAGAAATTTTTTGAAATCCCATCACCGATTTAAGGATTGCCCATGTTTAATTAAAGACATTTATCAATTATAAGGAACGACATCAATAGTTGATAAATGTGATGACAATTTTATTCTATGGTATACTAGATCGTTTGGATAAAAAGTTATAGATTATCTGTGTTATAATTATAAGCGACCCATGCTTAATTGAAGACGATTATCCATTACACCGAAAATTAAATGTAGAGGTCAATTAAAATCAATGGATTAGAAAAGAGTAACGCTGTAGACTATATTTTCAAAGATGTCTTTTGATTTTATCTGTAGGGACTAGGTAATTATGATCGACCATTGCTTCAAAAGATCCCTACTGTTCTGTTCTTTAGTTGACAAGACTAGATTGTCAAAACTGTCTCTTGATTTAATCTATAGGAGCTACAATTATATCCTTTGGCCATCGGGCCAAAATATCCCTACTTTTCTGTTCTTAAGTAGACTAGATTATCCGGTTATGGACTAGATTATCAAAGGTGTCTCTTTTATCTTTTTGTTTGCTTTCTTTTAATTGAAGGTGGAAAGAGACCGAGTAAGTCTACTAACAACAACGTTTAAACAACTAAACACACACTTTAATCGGCGTACCAACACAACAGGACCACCTATAGCTGTACATAGAGTTAAAGTTACATTTAAAGATGAACCCGGTGAGGGGAGCGGAGTGGCTAGAAGTTTCTTTACAGCTGTGGCTAATGTAAGTAATAACAATAAGATAACATGTTTAGTTTAGGAGCCTTTCTTCATTAGCCAAAGTGGCCCGAATGGTTAATGCCTGCGCGTTGCATCATAAGGTCTGTCATTGAGTCAAATGGTGTGGTTTCAATTCTCCGCTTGTACCTGACAAGGAGTAGGGAGTAGGGTTGCCTGTCCAACCTCGTGGGTTTTCTACAGGACCGGTTCCCTCCAAGGGTTAAAGGCCCCTACGCGAAAGCAAATTATTAATAAAATTGAACTATATATTAGTCCCGAAATGGCCTAGATTGTGTCAAGTGGATGTCAAACCCCAGTGAATTTATTACTATTATGTAACATACTAAGAACCTAACTACATTTTTTGGGCACCAACCACCACCGCCCCCCCCAGTCAAAGATTTCCCCGAACGCCTATGGCCAAGCTGGATCGGTGAGTATGTCACTAGCTTGATAGCCAGGAGGTCCTTGGTTCAATCCCATGTTGGCTGAGAAAGTGCCCTAGTTTTGCAGGACGGATGGCCTGGCACCAAACAGTGTCTAGTCATTCAGATGGAGCTATAAACCAAATTCCAATGCACGGTTGGCAGTTTGTATTCAATGAATTTCATTTCATTTCATCTGTAAACATCCGAGCATATGGGAATTAGGATAGTTTGGGATAGGTGGCTGTCAATGAACCCACTATTTGCTAATTTGATAATTGTAAGACTAGTGATATAATTAATGATCGTTTTCTGGGATAGGTGGCTGTCAATGAACCCACTATTTGCTAATTTGATAATTGTAAGACTAGTGATATAATTAATGATCGTTTTCTGAGATCTTGTTCATTTTTTTTTATTACAGGCGATTTTATCACCAGAGAAACTACCCCCATTAGATGGTGTGATGGTTGGAGGCAAGAGTATACAATATAGTATGTACATATTGAGAGCTTTTAAAAACACAGTTTATGCTGTAGTTTTAATTTAAATGTATTTTATTGCAAATAATTTACATAGGAATCAGGATATTTTATAGAAATTATGAACCATCTACCCACCAAAAATGAGATAATTCATAGGGGAATGGTGTAGCTTAAGTCAATGTAAGAATTTACCGATGTTAAAACTGTTAGGGAGGTTATTGGGGGATTTTTCTAGAACTTGTTATTGGAGATCATTTTTTGCCACACATTAAAGAGGCATTATGGGGGATTAGATAAAGAGTTGACAGTTCTTGCTATAATAGTTAAAAATTAGATAATGTATATAGAATATGCCTAAAATTTCAGTCAGATTGCTAAACTCTGAACCAAGATATTAGCTTTTGAATTTTAGTCTAGCCTTGATCATCATTACTAAAGTCGGTACAATAAAAAAAAAACAAAGTCTTGATTATCTATTTTTACGTTTAATTATTTTGCTAGCGATCGCATCGAGAGTTTGGGGGATCACGTGGCTAAGTGGGTAAGACGCTAGCTCGCTAGCCTGGAGGTCGGGTGTTCGATCCCTGCATTGGCCGAGAAAGTTCATCCAGATTTTCCGGCGTGGTTCTCCCTTGTCAGTGATGCAGGACGGAGGGGCTGACAAGGAAAGCTGTCTAGTCGTTCGGATTGGACGAAAAACTGAGGTCCCGTGTACACATTGGCGTGCACGTAAAAGATCCCTTGGCAGTTGGAATTCGATATAAGAGTAGGCCGTAGTGCCGCTGCCCGGGCAAAATTTCCCTCATAGCACACTGTATGGCGTATGCCCGTCTTCATTAGCCCAGGTTAGGAGCAGAACAGTAGGACGTTAAACCCCATTTCATTTCATTTCATTTCATTGCATCGAGAGTTGATTATGGTCTGGAAAAGTTAAATAATGTCTAACTAATAATTTAGATAACATTGCATGCCTAAAGAAAGACCTGCAAGAGGCAGATTTAGCTCTGCATAATGTATGTTTAAGTGCCTTTTATTCAAAATAGCTAAAATGGTTGAACTGTGTTTTGTATTTATGATTCTAATTATCTTTTCTGTATAACTGTAACATATAGAGAGGGTTCTGTTAGATGGGATGCATACCATGCCTTGCAACTAACAATCAATACTTCGGTTGTGTTAAACCAAATAGATCTTTATCAATGGCTGATGCAAACATGTTATGTTGATCAACAATTTCAAGATGATGACCATCAAACATTTTAAATTCATATGAAATCAGGAGCCACAGTGGCTCAGTGAGTAAGGCAGTAACCAGAACATCCCATATTAGATCCAGGTGTTGGCTGAGAAAGGTCCTCATAGTTTTCCAGTTTGGTTCCACTTATCAGTGGTTGTTCGGTTGGATCTAAAATGGATGTCCTCTGATCCCTTGACGTTTGTCCAGGCAAAATTTCCCACACTGCATCACGTATGTGCATCTTTATTACCCCCAGAAAAGTAAGACTTTGATTTTTTTCACGATAATTCTATTTCTCAACAGATTTAATTCAACGGTTACGATCACGAGAGAGGGAAAGAGAACGAGAAAGGATGCGAATATCATCGATGCAGAGACAGAGAAGTCGTGATCGGGAACCAAGGCGAACCCTATCCCACGATGCTCCACCATTCTACATGCCTTCAGACGGAGGTTCAGGATCAAACACACCCAATCCCAGCGAACCTACAACTGAAGGTGGCGACACCATAGCCCAGTATAGAGGACAACTCGGTGAAAGGTTATATCCCAAAGTTCGAAATATACAGCCAGTAAGTTGTTAGATTTATTTTCTTTCATCTCTACCTCCAGGGGTGTTAGATGGCCGAATGGTTAGGACCAGTGCGCTGTATCAAAAGGTCTGTCATTGAGTCAACTGGCGTGGTTTCGATTCCCCGGTTGTACATGACAAGGAATAGGGTCATCTTTCCAACTTCGTGGGTTTTCTCCCGGCCCTCTGGTTTCCTTCCACTGCTAAAGACCCCTAACACAAGTGAATCATTGAAATAAAATTAAACCATATCTTATCCCCAATATGACCTAGTTCGTTATCTCCAAATATTCATTGATATCAGTCCTTTTATTGCTAGGGAGGTTGGATGGCCGAATGGTTAGTATGTGCGCACTGTATCATAAGGTCTGTCATTGAGTCAACTGACGTGGTTTCGATTCCATGGTTGTTTTCTCCAGGTCCTCCGGGTTCCTCCCTCTGAAATAAAATTAAAAATCATATGTTATGACCTAGTTTGTGTCGAGTGGAGGTTAAACCCCATTTCTCTCTCCTCTCATTGCTGATAACAGGCCCAGAGTTTACAAAACATTCTCAGACTTAAGTTAAGAATTTACTCAACTTTCAATCATAGTTAATGAGAAATATCTTTGATCCAGAAACACAAAACATAGTTTCTTATTGATGTATTTGATACATTAAAACAACAAAAGTTTTATAAAGGGCTATATTTTAGTTAAAATAAGGCGAACAACTTTGAGTAAATTCTTAACTTAAGTCGGAGAATGCTATGTGAACTTGGGGCCTATTGTTGTATGTGTAGAACCTCAACATTAAATGTTGTTCTTTTTGAATAGAACTGATTTATTCGGGTGAAAGACTTCTGGAAATACTTATCTTAGTCCAGTCCATCTATCTAAAGCTCTGATATTTTGTCAAATAAATACAAACTTCCAGCTTCCCAGTGTGGTTCCAAAATCCCATGTTGTCTATACTTAACAAATTACAGTGGTAAATGATCGGTGCTCATACCATTTAAATGAGTTAATTAAGTTATCTGGTGATTTCCAAACTGCTCATCATTTTGATTTAAGTTTTCATTTTCAAGATTGTTACTGTCTGTGTGGTTGAGACAAACTGTTTAATTGTTGGGGTTTTTTTTCTTTCAGACCATGGCACCAAAGATAACAGGAATGTTGTTAGAGTTATCTCCCGCTCAACTGTTACTATTATTAGCATCAGAAGATTCGTTACGTCAACGTGTTGATGAAGCTGTTGATATAATTATGTCGAGAAGGTAAGAATTGAATTAGTTACTATCTTTAGTATTTATCTACGATTTATGTCGATGATCATCACAAAATTGCAGGCACTAAATTGAATTATTTTGACTGTTCCGTGAATGTATTGATTATGTTTATATACAAGCATTTTAAAAAAGATAAATCTGTGCCAGACAAAATGACGGGCACCTGAGGGATTGTGTCTGATAAAGCTTGAAATTAAATGAAATGTGTTTAACGTCCTACTGTTCTGCTCCGACTGGGCTAATGAAGACGGACATACCCCATGCAGTGTACTATGAGGGAAATTTTGCCCGGACACGGCACTATGGCCTACTCTTATTTCGAATTCCAACTGTCAAGGGTTCTTTTACATACATGCCAATGTGTACACGAAACCTTGTTTTTCCATCCTGTCCAAATGACTATACGTTGACCTTTGACAGGCCCTCTGGGTAACCACGCTGGAAAATCCAGATGAACTTTCTAGGCCAACACAGGTATTGAACACGGGACATCCAGGTTAGTGAGCCAACGTCTTACTCACTGAGCCAGCAAAGCTTGAATTAGTGCCCGACAGGTGCTTTATTATATCACTTTATGCACTGATTGACTTTCTATATTTAACAGAGAAATGAGTGCCGAGTCATTATTAGATTTAGATATATTCAACCTGTCATCTGATAAAAAGAAGTCAGGATCGTCAGATCGTAAAAGTGATTTAGATGAAGAGGAAGAAATAGATGACAGTGCTGCCCTGTTCTGGCAGCCCGGAAAACGGGGCTATTACTCACCGAGAGCCGGTAAAAATACACCAGAAAGAATTAATGCTTACAGAAATGTTGGACGGTAAGTAAATTAACACGCATTATTTAAAGATACATTAGTTAAGGGTTTAATAAAGAATTGGCCATTCTTGCTGTAATAATTCAAAAATAGATGATAAAAAAAGAAAATATTGAAAATTTCAGTCAAATTACTTTATTCTGAATGGAGTTGTCACTGTTGGAAGTTTGGATTAGAAATAGGCATCAACTGTGTCCGCACCGTCTACGAGAATGGCTGATCGTTTGATTGACAGACGATAACTCCCACCCACCTATTCTCGATTATCAAGTAACATTCTCAATGGCTGTGGTACCCTCGCTTGGTAGGCCTTTCAAGACCAGTTTCCGTTAGTGACGTAAGTGACTAACAGTAAACGTTAGCTTGGTCGGCTATTTCTTGATTTAATTTTAAATGTACAACTGTTTAAATAGAAGCTGTATCCAAGCCATCCGAGGGTCTACAGAGTTTATTGTGATCTTGTCATGTAAATAAAGGTCTAATTAAAGGACAATATTGGTGTCAGTCACTATAAAATATGTTATAGAGCTTGTTAAATACATCCCAAATATAATTTTAACACAGAGATCATTGCTACGATAGCTGAGTAACAAGCACGTGAAGAAACGGGAAGTGCCGTCAAACATGACAAACACAAGTTGTCCTTCTATATAACAGACTGAAGTAACGAGCGGTAACAGACAAACGATCGAATTTCATTTCACTGATAATTCAGTTGAAGATGAAAAGTTGTTACATGAGACGATGAGAGGATATCTGACAATTCAAAAAAAAAATTGGATGTCAGTAGATAAAAAATAACGAACAAATTAGAAAAAGTCTGTGCATTACCATGTTTTTATTAAGAACAGAATGAATAAAAACGGGGGAATGCACGGGATTTTTCGATTTTTCTCGTGTCCCTTATCTAGTGACAGCCAATTCTATTTTTGAATTGTGAGATACCCTCTCACCGTCCCATATGATAACTTTTCAACTTCAACGGAATTATCAGTGAAATGAAATTCAATCGTTTGTCTGTTACCGCTCGTTACTTCAGTCTGTTATATAGAAGGACAACTCGTGTTTGTCATGTTTGACGTCACTTCCCGTTTCTTCACGTGCTTGTTACTCAGCTATCGTAGCAATGATCTCTGTGTTAAAATTATATTTGGGATGTATTTAACAAGCTCTATCACATATTTTATAATGACTGACACCAATATTGTCCTTTAATATTTTCTATAACATCTGAAGCCTAAATAAAGACTTGCAGTAGGCAGATTTAGCTCTTGCATAATATATGTTTAAAACTAAGTGTATTTGAACATATATTTAATCAACTTCTGTTCATATTTGCGGTAAAAAACATGAAAAATTGGTAATAGCAACCATGTGTAGAAATGGAAAAAAATAACATCTGATTGTTTTAATTGACTAATATAATTGTTATTGTCTTTTACAGGATAATTGGTCTATGTTTACTACAGAATGAAATCTGTCCACTATTCTTTAATCGTCATGTATTGAAATATATATTAGGACGTAAAATAGCCTGGCATGATCTCGCATTCTTTGACTCGGTCACCTATGAAAGTCTGAGAACGCTGGTTGAAGATGGTGAAACTAAAGACTCATCTCTAATATTCGCTGCTTTAGATTTAAATTTCTGTGTTGAACTGTGTCCAGCTGAGGTATGTATATTGTTTTAATGTTCTGACAAAAAGCATTGGCCGAGAAAGTTCATCAGGATTTTCCAACATGGTTTCCCCTTGTCATGGATTTGCTTCCTTGCTTGTACGTGACAAGGAGTAGGGTCGTCTGACATTTGTTTTCTCTGGGTCCTCCGGTTTCCTCCCACAGCTAAAGACCACTATGTGCAAGCGACTTATTGAAATAAAATTAAACCATATGTTAATCCCAAAATGGCCTAGTTTGTATCGAGTGGACGTGAAACCCCATTTCTCTCTGTCTCCCTATAAGCTGTGATTCGACAGACTTTACAGAATCGTATATTGGTATGAAAACACACGCCTATCAATATATTAAACAGTAGGCATGGTTCTAAAGAACCTGTTATTTATTAAATTTGTATCATGGATTGATCATACCCCGTTTTATAGATAGAACCTGTAATTTATTATATTTCGGTATCATGGATTGATCATACCCTGTGTTATAGATAGAACCTGTAATTTATTATATTTCGGTATCATGGATTGATCATACCCCGTGTTATAGATAGAACCTGTTATTTATTATATTTCAGTATCATGGATTGATTATACCCCGTGTTATAAATAGAACCTTTAATTTGTTAGATTTCAGTATCATGGATTGATCATACCCTGTGTTATAGATAGAACCTGTTATATTTCAGGGAGGAGAACAAGTAGAACTTGTACCAGGGGGAGCTGATATTGAGGTTAATGCCCAGAATGTTCATGATTATGTTAGAAAATATGCTGAATATAGAATGGTTAAAGTTACAGAGAAATCTCTTAAAGTAAGTATTTGTGTATAAATAATGAAATAACTTGAAATAGTCCCTTATAAACCATCTTCTAAAGAATGCTTGATCTCACTTTAACTCTGTACATATTGGGGGGTTGGATGGCCGAATGGTTAGCACGTGCGTGCTGTATCATACGGCCTGTCATTGAGTCAACTGGCGTGATTTCGAATCCCCGGTTGTACGTGACAAGGAGTAGGGTCGTCTGTCCAACCTCGTGGGTTTTCTCCGGGTCCTCCGGTTTCCTCCCACTGCTAAAGACCCCTACGCGCAAGCAAATTATTGAAATAAAATTAAACCATATGTTAGTCCCAAAATGACTTAGTTTGTGTCAAGTGGATGTTAAACCCCATTTCTCTCTCCGTACATCTTGTCAAGGCTTTCACGTAATATCCTGGATATTTCAGCACTAAATTTGAGTGGGTATTCACCCAGCTTGAGAGCCTATCAGTTTCCTCGATCATCGCGAATGCCAAGTCTCGCACTTTCCAGCTAAAATGTCTACCTGTGATAATTAAGTTGCAAAGTTCAAGGTTCATTCAATGTCAAGGTTTCAGTGGAGACCGCTATATTTGATTTGAGTGTGTTAGTGTCACAACTTCTGATTTGACAATACTGTTCGAGTGTCTGCAGTAAAGGGAGAAAACGTAGCTATAAGTTCGGGAATTCGAAAGTAATCTAGCATCGTCCAGATGTTGCAAAACTCTCAGTCGGAACATATTAACCAGAAGCATCAGTGAAAGAGGGCAAGTTCACAACAGCAATTTAAATAAAAGTGCAAAACGTTCAGTAGCTTTTACTCTCCTTTTGTTAATTTCTTTATTGTATTTGCTAGACTTGCATTTTCAACCATTTGCTTGACAAGTGTATCATGGTTAAAACATTATGTAATGTTATAATAGAATTTTGAATTGAAATAGCTATTTGTATATAGCAGAGTATAAAGATTAAACATTTGTCTCTATTTGTATTTCAGAGTTTAAAGAGTGGTGTATTTGATGTTTTACCATCCAATGCTCTGGAAGGTTTAACAGCAGAAGATTTACGTCTGTTATTAAATGGTGTTGGTAATATCAATGTCCAGACACTCATCAGCTATACATCATTCAATGATGAGAGTGGTAAGATTAATTTACTGTCCTCTTCATTGAGTATGATGCTGGCTCACTAAGTTGAAATTGCCAGGTTCTATACCGGTGTTGCCCGAGAAATTTCCTCAAGATATTCTGATGTCCGTGCCTGGCAAGGTACCACTTCTAGTTGTACGGATGGTACGGGAAATTGAGGTGTACACATTGGCGTGCACCTAAAATAACCCTTGACAGTTGGAATTCAATTGCTGTCTGGGCAAAACTTTCCTCATAGCACACTGTGGTGTATATGCTTGTCTTCATTAGCCCAGTTGGTGCAGAACAGTCGGACATTAAACTCATTTCATTCATATCTTTGCCCTTTTTTCACAAATGAGTAGGGTCGTCTTCCCAACCTTGTGTGGTTTTTCTGGGTCCTCCGGTTTCCTCCTACTGCTAAAGACCCATATGGACAAGTGAATTATTGAAATAGAATTGAACCATATGTTAGTCCCAAAATAATCATCGAAATGAATCAACTAGCATTCTAATTATGACTAGTAAAATAAGCATTTGATATAACCACTACCGCTTTGAAGATTTTGCCCTTTGGTAAAAAATGATTTTCAAACTGATGTTAATTAACCAAATAATTTTTCGGGGATTGGTCCAGGCTTGTAGTGGTTGACGTTCATATTAATTAAGTGATTTGAATGAAATTTATGTTTAATTGTATATTATTACAGGAGAAAAGGGATTGGTCCAGGCTTGTAGTGGTTGACGTTCATATTAATTAAGTGATTTGTTATTTGAATGAAATTTATGTTTAATTGTATATTATTACAGGAGAAAATGGTGAGAGGGTACAGAGATTTAAACGGTGGTTCTGGTCAGTTGTAGAAAAAATGAACAACCGAGAAAGACAAGACATGGTACGTATCTTATTAAATACTCTTTAAAAAAAGTAGGGGATATTGAAATGCAAATACCTATGCAGGTTGTGATATGATAAATAGTCATGGACACTTGACATGCTTTGAGAGTATGTTCACAGATAAAGAACTTACCGCCCCAACAGAACCACTGAGCTTCATGTGCGACACGCAATAGCGCCATACACATGGGAGGTGTTCATTGTCAAATTTGACGCTTCAAGGAAGGGTTGATGAAAACTGCCGCTTGCTGGTTTATCCTATCCATGTTTGCTTTCCTATCGGTTCTCGCATAAGATTTACTGTTTAGTGTATCTTTGCTTTAGTGTGTTACGTTTAATTTGATCGGAAGACGTGTTCATTGACGTCAACGTCAACTGACAACTCTGCAACAATTGGCTGTGGCACTGCAAGAGGAGTGGGTCAGATTGCCCCAAATCGTGATTGGACGGTTGATAAGGAGCATGCCATGACGAATTGCTGAATGTCTGAGGATTGGTGGAGCATTTACTCATTATTAAGACAAAAATCAAAAACGTCCATTTTCACTTTTGACGGTGTATCTCTTTGCGAGTGAAATGGGGCCGTCAGATAAGCCGCCCATATGAACTGTTTATGTTCATGTGTAGGCAATTGGCCTGTTATTAACATACACTGGTTACCTTTAATAAAAACAGCAGTGCATTTCAGCAGTTTTGTATTGTTTCTGAATATCCCCTACTTTTTTTGAAGAGTATATAACACAGACAGCTGTTTTTTTTGAGTGGTTGATTCCAGATAAAAATGTCTCATGTTCAAATCCTGCTGTGGAATAAGAACTCTCACAATTTTGATGTCTGTCAAGCGCGGACAATACTCTAAGCAGAATTATCATATTGTGTCTCGTAGTGAGGATTTTGTAAAAATTTGCAATTTTTCTCGAATCGAATCCTTCCCATTACATTAAGACTGCAAAGTGGATGAGTTTTGTGCTTTAGATGTCATATTGTAGAGCATGAGATTCTTCCTTTCAGTAATGTGAAATAATCATTATGGTACTGGTTGTTATTTCAGGTATATTTTTGGACATCCAGTCCTGCGTTACCTGCTAGTGAAGAGGGATTTCAGCCTATGCCAAGTATTACTATACGACCAGCTGATGACGAGCATCTACCAACAGCCAATACATGCATATCTCGTCTCTATATTCCTCTGTATTCATCTAAGACAGTTCTACGGGCCAAATTGTTATTAGCCATTAAGACTAAGGCCTTTGGTTTCGTGTGATCGAAAAGATCTTAATATGTGAATATATTATCGACAACATCTATTTTCCAACTAGCTAGAATATCTGTGATCATTAATTAAGACTCGCTGTGAATGGAGTATCATATGATGGATTTTGGATTGATGTGAAAGGACATTTTAATAAATCATTGTTTAGGTTTCTTTGGTTTTAAGAACTTCAGACAAATAATGTTGGTTTTTAAAACCATATGTTTTCTGTAATACTTACATGTGACATATAAAAGTAGTTGGTTGAATTGTATATTAATAACTAATTGATTCAGAAGGACAATTTTTTAGGATTAGCAAGTGAAATATACATTTCATGGACGTTTTAGTAAACTGTGAATGAAAAGAGGAAATTGAAACAGAGGAAACGTTAGCAGTATTGACAGTTTTTAAACAGATGTTTGAAAGATTGGGGCATTTAGTATGATATCCGTCTGTGAACCGAAAATTACTAGCTTGTTACAGGACTTTACAGAGTCCTTCAATTCCAAGCCTTGCTTTTTATATATGTTACAGTTGATATTTAAATTAGAAAATCTAATCCAAGAGAAAAAAGATGAACTGTTCTGTTACAGGGAAAAAAAGATATATTGAATTGTATATTTTAAGTACATTGCTTGAGTTTGTAATTTTTGTCATGTGACATGCACATTAACTGACCGGTAGATTTCTCTTTAAGATATTTTAATGCTAGTCAGCCATTCACTGGCAAAAACTCAAAACAAGTGCTATTTGAGTAAGTTTTATTAGGCAAAGTATAAAGTGAATTCATTGCTCTGAAAATGGTGTTAGTTTCAAACTTGGGATTTTCAAATTCTGATGACAGATTTTAAATGATTTATAAGTTGTAAATAAACAAAAACAACTTCAGAAACATTTATTAATTGAAACTATTAAAAGGTATATGAATCGTTGATTCATCAATTCATTAAAGGGTGTATTCAGCTTGTGTGATTGTTGCTTTACACAAATAATTTGTTTAAATTTATATCAGGACAGTGGACACCCTCCGCATGACTTGAACATTGTAAAGCAGTATGTTTGTAACAAAGTAAATTCTAGAAGACAATAAATAGTTTATATTTCTTTAATTCTTAAAGAAAGACATACTTTCTCCAATATTTTAATTGGTTGAGGGTTTTTTCAATGGGCATTCAGACATTGTCTAAGAATTTTGGACCATAAAAATGGGGATTTATAATTAAAATAATTGAAGATGATTGTGAATTGGATATATTGTGAAGTTATTTGTATAATATATTATTGTGGGTACATGTAACAACCTGTAATTGTGTACAAGATGAGAATAAAAAATGAACATTAATTACAATTTAAGTTTCTAGAAAGTTCTGGCCCCCAAGTTCACAAAGCATTCATTATCAGACTTAAAGGAGCTAAATCGCTAATATTTTAATCTAGAAATTGACACAAATGGGTCGCAACACATATAATAATGTAATGTGAATGTATACAAACTGATTTACATTCAATCGTTTTTGTTTTTACTGCGATTTCTAATCAGTTATGTTTGGCGAAATACGCCAGAAGTATCAATAGAATGGCAATCTCTAGCGTCTGGTTATTCCACTCTATACCGATAGTACTTATTGCGCATGCTCTCCAGATAAGAATATGGCGTCCCCGATTGACATGACTTGTGGAATATATCTAGCCTCTTTCTACGAGTCCCTTGTTAAAAATGTGCAAAGTTTTGTGTTTCTGGATCAAAGATATTTCTCATAAACAGTGATTGAAAGTTGAGTAAATTCTTGACTTAAGTCTGAGAATGCTTTGTGAACTCTGGGCCTGGACAATTGAAGATTACACCAGAAATATTATAAGTCTGAAAAGGGTAGATCAGTTGGGTTGAAACAAACTTTTGCCACCAACAAGTACAATCACTGAATGAATCATAGACACAAGAACTGCAATTGTAGTGTTATTGTATTTCGTACCAGATCATCTTGTGAACCTACCCATTGAGCACATTATCGGCAACAATTTAGGAATGACAGCAGAAGTTTCTGCAAGATAGGTGCCAAAGCTCTAGACATCAGATCAAAACCATGGACATATTTGAACCATGGATGAGATCTGGATTCATCACCTTCAACGAGAATTCGAAATTCAGTCTAACCAATGGAAGGATGATGTAATGTCAGCTGTGAAATATATTTTTATGTTGGCTCAAGAAACTCTTCCTGACATCCAGGCAATGCAACATGTACACCTTGAAAGGGGACTATGTAGAAAAAAATGGAAATCATTGACTTTGTACAGGTATTTCACAGATAGGCTTATAACTTTCCAGCAAGCCCTCGTACATGTTTGTGGGGGGGAAAAAGGCAAGTTTTACATTTTGGAACTATTAGTAATATTCATGGATAGTTTTGAATGGCTCATTCATATTTTTTAGATTTTAATATTTGATATAATTTAATATTGTGTTTCATAGGACTGAGTGGTACCCAGCTTGTGGTTGATCCATCATTTTGTTTCACCCATTAACCCTCCAAATGGGCAAGGGGTATTACATAGTCCAAAAGGCATCCTAATAAGTTTCCTTGAATTGAAAACTCTAGTTTTGGTTTTAGGCTGTCTTGATCCCTCTAAAGAAAAGATGCATGAAATATCTATTAACTTGGAGCGTCCATTAATATTGCTGAAGTCTTGCGAAACTAGGATTTGTTTTGTTTTGGTCTACAATATACATGTACATCCACTTGCAGCGTGGTCCACTGTCTTGACCTCTGTGATAGACATCGAAAGGGAACTGGACAAGACAAAAGGAACAAAACATGAACACAGCGTAGACATATCATTTACAATTGGATCCCTTAAAAGCCACTGATCCAATTCCCAATTTCAGGTAAATAAAGTTAGTCCCCCGTGTGTGTATCCCCTGAAATAGAATTTTGTCAAAGAACCAAGTCCTGTGTTAATATTTAAAGTAACATTTACTGATCTAAATATTTTCAAAACCGAAATTCTATTATGACTTTCTGAAAGATTAATCCATGTCTACTTGAATCATTCACACATCAAAAACGAACCAAACATAAATAAAGATGATATAATAATAATCTATTTCGACAACCTGATTCACTTCCTACTACACTACCGGTAATTGTATAGATCTTGTAAATTGTAAAAACTTATGTATTAAATCTGTACACGACAAAAAATGATCCAAGTGGATGTCAAATGTCCGTAAAATGTTACCATGGCGACGAATGCAATCGAGAATCTGCTTCAAAGGTATACTTTATTATATACTTTCAACCTTCCGATAATTTAAAAAAATCAGTATTATAGCTTAGCTTTGAGTAAATGAAGCTTACATTTGAAAAGAAGGGAAGATTATTGAACGTTGGTTGTTTAAATGGTACTACACCTTCCAGGGGTTCTAAAAGTTTCTATCTTTGATCATCTAATTTGTTTTGTTTTCCCTATTGGTCTGTCTATTTACACATATAGAAATATTCAAAGAAGTTGATATTATTGTCTTTTATATAACAGCTTATACACCCAAAGTGTTGCCATCAGTGTTCTCTGAATCTGGGCAGACCGAACTAATTTAATCCCGCCCGAATATCACCCTACAGATAAACTCTTAGGAAACGTTTTGGCTACGATGCTTACAGTTTGCTTATCCATTTCTTAACCAATAAATGTAAAAAAAACAACATCCCGTGGGTTTAAGATCAAGCGACTCGAACCATCTCAAATGATAACGGATAAAACCATCGACTTTCGTCGTCCGAAGATTACCCATTTGTGCAGTGCGCGCGCAACAAGGTCAACAAATGGCGGAGAACTTGAATTTGGAAAATATTGCTAAGTGATTCAGTGTCCATTGAAACAACACAGGTAATTTTAGTAAGACTCATACGCCATTTATGTTTATTATCCTTGTTCAGACGAATGACTGACCTCATTGCCAATTATGTGTTTAGTACCGAAGGTCAAAGAAAAACTGAGACAAATCTCAAAAGTAGCAGTCTTCACTTTCCTTGACATTTCAGTGAAATGTCAAGGAAAGTTGACCATCATTTATCAATGTGAAATTTTCACATTGATAAATGATGGTCAATGCAAATCAACTGTCAAACTGAAAACGACAGCCAATGGGCTTTGTACGTAGAAATCGGTTAATAAAAGCATCCAGTTTGAAACTCTACAAATAGCTGATAGGACCGATTTAAAGGAGCCAAAACCGTACATGTTTTAGGACTAACTTTTTATTAAATTTTTGGGCTAATCATCATGTCACAAGTAGTAGGCCTATAAGTAGTAAGTACGAAGTAGGCTACATCATCATATACACACATGCAGGTCTGTGTGTGTGTTACTGTTTTATAAATGATAACAAAAAACAATGCCTATTATTTATGTCAGAAAAATGCAATGGGCAGGGACGTACATATCGATTTTGTTTGGGGAGGTGTTTAGCAAAAATAAGACTGACTAATAATGCATTGGCCCCTAATACAAGGGATGCATCCACAAGCCGAGGACCGCATGCACAAGCTTCCCAGGGGGGTGTGCCATTTCCTCCTGGACTTTTGGGGAAAGATTTTGCAGAATTCTGATAATCAGAAAACTTATGAGGAAAATGAAATGTTAGGGGTTTAAAGTAGCTAAGTCTCTAACTCAATATCATCCAAAATCTTCAACATTGAAAACACAAATTATTGGTCAAATTAAGTCAACATTCATGTTGTGATCTTACCGGAAAAAGATGGGCTTTTGATATCCAATATTTAAGACAAAATAAACATTTTACCATTGGTACACGAATCGTGTACCATAATGCGCTTCAGCCCCAGTTGTATCAAGAGACTCGAGGGACGAGGCTAGACACATTGCACCAAATCAAACGGCGTATGTAGACTGGAAAACCCAGACACTAGAAATTTGCACTCGCTTGAGACTGCTGGCTTATTTCGCCGAACATAACTGATTTGAAATTGGAGTAAAAACGGAACCCATTGAATGTAAATCAGTTCATATACATTCATATTACAGTATTATATGCGTTGCGACCCACTTTTGTCAATTTCTAGGTCCCAAATGTTAGCGATTTAGCTCCTTTAAGTTAACGTCCTACTGTTATGAGTCTGACTGAGCTAATGAAGACGGGCATACGCCATACAGTGTGCTATGAGTATGAGGGAAATTTTGCCCAGGCAGCGGCACTACGGCCTATTCTTAATTATATCGAATTCTAACTGTTGAGGATTCTTTTACGTGCACACCAGTGTGTACACAGGACCTTGGTTTTCCGTCCCATCTGATTGACTAGACAGCTGTCCTTGTCAGGCTGTCTGTCCTGCATCACTGACAAGGGCGAATCAAGCTGGAAAATCTGGATGAACTTTCTCGGCCAATGCAGGGATCAAACACCCGACCTCCAGGCTTGTGAGCCAGCATCTTACCCACTTAGCCACTGTGATCCCCCGGAGTAAAATGGAGTACCTGCACTGTACACATGAGAATTAGTGTTATTATTAATAATAATATTATTAAGAATTTTGCAAGAATAGACAAAGTACTTTGAATCTGTGACAACTTATGAAAGTAATAATTATAATTACTGTCTGCAAGGAGAACATTTGTTGAAATGTTGTGCGTGTATAAACAATTGATTGTTTTCCATGTAAATTGTGTTTTTTTCAGCATTAAGATGATGTCTACTATAAACTGTACACCTATAAAACAACAAGTTGAATCAACAGGGATTTTAACACCTGCTAGAAGTTTGCCGAGATTGAATCAACAACAAACACCTGATTATAGACATGTTTCTTTTTCTACACCTAATTTATTACAGGTAATCTACCTGTATTTATAGTTACTCAGGTTAACTTTCAGCTAATTAAGATCATACTCCTCGCAGTATTTCGTTTGATTAGAGCTAATCCCATTTAACAGTGCTGTAATGGAAGCAAATTCTTGTTCTAAATTATTTATGACTGGTCAATAGTCCGATTAACAACCAATATCGGTAGCTAACTGCGTAACAATATCAATTTTATGCTTTAAACAAAGCTCCAAATTGGACCAAATATTTTTACATAACGTTATGTCATGACTTTTATTATGCCCAATTAACCAGTGCATAGCAGAATGTTGCAGAAAAACTAATTACTTGACAAACGAGGCTATCAACACATATACAATCTAAACAATACTGTTTGGAGACAAACAATACTTTCACCATTTTTAATACCTTAAATCACTGACCAAAATTTTAGGGAAGATACCAGATTAAACGAAGGGCTGTGAAATTGCTGTACTTGGGATAGATTTGATTGAACGGGAAGAATAAACACACTCCCTCAAAAGCTCAAGTATCAGAAGCCAATCCAGCAATGGCCAGAAAGGGATTTCTTGGGCCATTGCTTCAGGAATATGATTAAAATGGGCATAAGTCATTCACTGTGCTATGAGGGACATTTTGCTTACTTTTATTTCAAATTCCAACTGCCAAGGGATCTTTTACATGCACGCCAACTCAATGTGTACACAGGACATCGAAAATTTGGTTAAATCTGAACATTGACATCTCTACTGTGGTTTTAAATCTGATAGTAATCTACCGGTACCGCAGCATGAGGTCACTGGCAAGTAGCAACTTTAGATATTTAAAGTTTTTTTCAAACCATGATGTGCGGATACCTGTAGTTCCATAGTTTGAGGCTAAAATTACAACATCCAAATGACTGGAAATTTATATAATACAAATGTACCCGAGACGAATATTGCTTCTGATTTGTTACGGTATTGCTTTTGATCACTGCTACTGTGAAACATCCAGCAGTTGCTTTAAAGATACCTTCTCACGTACAAACTGAGTGATTTGATGATTTATTTGGACAAAAAACATTCAAACTAATTATTCTATCAAAATTTTGCTACAAATCCTTCTCAAAACATTTTATTCGCCAAGGAATACCCCTGCTGTAAAAAGTCTTATTAAAAGATGTCATGTTTGTGGCACGTAACTTGGTTGATACAGTAGGCCTACATTGTACTTACTAAAGGGTGCGAATCAGAGGAGAATTCATTTCATATACAAGCGATATCTGTCTTAAATCACTGTTTATTTATCATAAATATCGATGACAAATTAAATTCTTGGATCCACTGCCCAAGTCCTTTTCCATGGTTTTTATTTCAGAAACTATTGTACGTTTAAAGATGCATTATGGGAGATTAGTTAAAGAGCTGGCAGGTCTCACTATAATAGTTAAAAATTAGATAATGTAAAGGGGATTTGCTGAAAATTTTAATCAAATTGATCCACCCTGAATTGAGTATTTGGCTATTGAATTTTGGGCATAGCCCCGATCATCATTACTAAAGTCTGTACGATAAAAAACATAGTCTCGTTTATCCATTTTTTGATTTAATCAGAAGCAGCAGACCGGGTTATAATCCAGTTAATATGGCAGGCTAACGATGCCATCGAGAGTTGATTATGTTCTGGATAAGTTAATGAATATCTAATTAATAATTTAGATAACATTTCAGGCCTAAAGAAAGTCCTACAATAGGCAGATTTAGCTCTTGCATAATGTATCTTTAAGCTCACCACCAAGCATACATCTCTAGTCTTATTGTCAGGTTACCGGTTAGGGAAACCCTTACATTTTTGTCTTGTATGCGCTCCATGGGTGTTTTCCCAGGGAATCCAGTATTTTTCTAGTAAGACTGTATGTTTCTATTTTCCATCTATCTGGCCTACATGTACATGTTTATACCAAAATTGCCATACTTTTATTGTAAATAACCACCCGATATATACTTTTGTGGGAAAGTAACTTTAAAATCTATACAAAGCTTTTATGGTCTTGAGCTAAAGAAGCTAATTGAGTTTTAACCATTTCCGATAATTACTAGCTCTTATTAACTTAATCCCAACATTTTCTGGTTGCCTGTCAACCTATCTTTATGCAGATACCAGATTTTAAAAAAAAAACTATGCCAGGTACACTTCAGACAGATATCCCTGAATGTGAATATTTTTAGGACATGCTTGTACTGTGTATGTTTCATTGCCTGGCAACCAGTCTTTATACATTATACATGTAGTTACCCAATAAAAAAACCCCAAACAACATACATGTACATGTATTTGATGGAATATAATCCAAGTTGTAGCGTGAAAATGTAAAAATTGAGGCTTATAATCCACTGGGCATATGTGTATAAATTATGCATAGTCAATAAGCCAAAAATGGCTGATGTTGGTGCCAGAGTGTGATCTTTACAGATAGCAAAGGCTTAATTCAGACTAATCAATAGATCCTGTCTGGTCAGTCAGTGATAAAGTAATCTGTAGGAAACGCGCATCAATTAATGGTTACTCAATGGCATAAGATACTATAAACAATTAATATGTTGTCATTAGCAACCAGGTAAATAAAAATACTAATTAATTGATCAGAAACTCGTGTGTGATGTATATACCGGTATGATATTGTACACAGTAAATTATGATTTAATCATAATACATGTACCAATGAATTGTGAATTAGATCATCTTGTTTCGTATTACCATGGCGATGACGAGTCTTACAATTTTATCTAACAATTTATAGCGTCGTATTAAGGGTAAGTATTATAATATTATTGAGCATATAAATGGGGTCTGACAAGAAACGATGCCTAGTTATTTAGATTAGGCAAAAAAAACTAAGTCCTGTGTACACGTTGGTGGATATGTTGAAAACCTTTGGCAGTTGAAATTCAACTAACAGTAGGTGGAAACCATGCTGTCTGGGTCTAAATTTCACTCACAGTATACTGTATGGCATATAATCTATGCCTGTCTTCATTAGCCGTGTTTGTGCAGAAAGAGAGAGAGAAATGGGGTTTAAGGTAAGGGGCATTATTTAAGGTAATTATGGTGAGGCTGATATAATTTTTATAGACGTAAGTTTTACTTAATAAATGAAATTATGGTTAGAGTCAATTACTGCTTTTTACTAAGCGACGTTTCGACTAGGCTTCTCTAGTCATTATCAAGCTATGATAAAAAATGAAAATATGACAGGACAATATATACATGTACACCACAATGCTAAGTTAATGATGACAAACCAGGGATGTAACTTAATACGTGTACCTAATGGTAATCTGATTTAATTGTACGCTAATAAGTTACATCCCTGGTTTGTCATCATTAACTTAGCATTGTGGTGTACATGTATATATTGTCCTGTCATATTTTCATTTTTTATCATAGCTTGATAATGACTAGAGAAGCCTAGTCGAAACGTCGCTTAGTAAAAAGCAGTAATTGTATTCCATAGAATTGTGACCTGTATACTCTAGTTCAATTACTAAATGCCATTGAAACAGTTTATGGTTAGAGTCAGATACAGAGTTTACTATATATTCAAATGATATTCAAATCACCACATGGACATATATATACATTTAAAATTAGTAAAATACTGCTTATGATAAGATCAATATTAGAAAGCTATTCAAATCACATTTCAAATTTTATAAAATATTGTTTATAAAATATAGAAAGGGAAAATACTATTTAAATACATGTAGCTGCAAGGATTGAATGCTATTCAATTAATTGATTCTTTTTGGTTTATTCTCAAATTTCTAGAATTATGAACTGATCAATTATTAGATATTTTTTGGTTCACCCTCTGATTTTATGAATTGTAAATTAGTATATTTTCCTTTGATTGTGAACCTGTATCTATTAATGGAGAAAAAAACCAGACCAAATTGCTATTTCAAATTCTTAAAAACAAGTTAAAACAGAAATAACATGAGGTTTAATGTCTGCAACAAATGAAGATTGATATATGTATGTCTCTGACAGGAATTTTGCCCTGGCGGCTGTACATTTGCCTACTCTTATTCCCAACTGTGAGCCTCAACGATTAGACACCTTTCCTTTCCAGGCTATTGGTCTTGAACAGCTGACAAGGGCAATCAAGCTGGAAAATCCGGAGGAATTTGTCGATTGAACCTTGGTTATTGAGCTAATGTTATACTAACCTTTGTTTAAATTTAATATAGAATTAACTCCCTTTATTCTCTTGGATCATAAGGTCTGTCATTGAGTCCAGTGGCGTGGTTTAGATTCCCTGCTTTACGTGACAAGGAGTAAGTTCGTCTGTCCAACCTCGTAGGTTTTCTCCAGTTTTCCCCCACAGCTAAAGATCCCTATGAGCAAGCAGATAAGTGTTCAAAATTAAATTAAACCATATGTTAGTCCCAATATGACCTAGTTTGTGTTGAGTGGTGTTAAACCCTATTTCTCTTTCTCCCTTTATTCTTGGCCTTGGTAATGAATTTATTTTCATTGAATACATTTTATGATTTGATATTATTTCAGAAAGCCGAAAAACGAAGATCAAATATGGCCAAAGATATCTTACTTGGAAAGAAACAGGGCTGTGGCACACCATCCTACCCCTCTCCACTTGATCGTATTAGAGATGGAAGATCAAAGGTCAGCCGAGCAGAACAGCTGGGATTGGTTGTTGAAAATGAGGCTTCATTCGAATTGAACCAATCATTTCCAAAGGTTGCTAAATCCAAGATGAAAGAAGTTCTAGATGTGACCACGCCCAATTTGGATCAGTTTGAATGTAAGTAGGGGAAAGGGTCAGGGATTCTTTGGTCATTTTGATGCCGTAACCGGCTCAGAGCAACGAGGGGGATGGGGCGGGAAGTGTTCTCAGGGGTGCTGTTAAATTGACAGACAATGTAGATCTATTGTTTTTATGGTCGACAATTTTTTCACAAGGGGCGAGCCATTTTTTGGCAGTAGGCAGACTGCGTGCCCCCAATTAAGGGCCTGATGCTAACATACATGTACATGTTTAGTCAAGTCTGAAAATAAGGCACATTATCACGCACAAATTCAGTCTTTGTCAGGCACATGTCCTATGGTCAGTATGGTGCCAGTCATTTTGTCTAGCACAGATTTGGATTTTATTTTATTTTTTTTTATTGATGTATATATCCAACATAAAATTATGATATTATTACAGTATTAAGGTACTAGTTCATTAATGTCTCACATATTGCCATGTACAACTAAAACTGTTGTTATCGGAACTGCATATATATAGTAAATTACAGTATTTTTTTTGGTTACAAAACAAGAACGAGATTTCTGTTTGTGTATTAATTTTAAATAAAGACAAATTCATAAAGGGTGTTATACAGTTATTACCCCAAAAATGTATGGATGATAATTATGATGATATCTCATATCAACAATATCTGATGTAATGTAATTATCTGAGATAGTGGGCATTGTATCTGTCTAATGTAATGTGTACTGTAATTATCTGATATAATGTGTACTGTTATTATCTGATATAATGTCTATTGTAATTCTCTGATATAATTTCTATTATAATTCTCTGATATAATGTCTGAACATAATTTTATGATATAATGTGTATCAGAATTCTCTGGCGTAATATGTATTGTAATTTGCTGACGTAATGTGTAGTGTAATTTGCTGATGTAATGTGTATTGTAATTTGCTGATGTAATGTGTATTGAAATTTGTGAAGTAATATGTATTGTAATTATCTGTAATGTGTATTGTAGGTATAATTCTCTGATTAATGTGTATTGGAATTCTCTGATATAATGTGTATTGGAATTCTCTGATATAATGTGCATTGTAACTGTCTGATATAATGTGTATTGTAACTGTCTGATATAATGTGCATTGTAACTGTCTGATGTGTATTGTAACTGTCTGATATAATGTGTATTGTAACTGTGGGATATAATGTGTATTGTAATTCCAGGTGAAGGGTTAAACGATGTCAGTTTTTCACCAGGCTTTAGTAAAGGTTCGTTTTCGATTGCGGAGACATCATTAGACCTGTCATTGAATGAGAGCTGGTCATTCTATAATTATGTTGGAGGTGGAGAAACCGGACATGTGTTTCCTCAGGCTGTTCGTAATCCTAATAAAGCCATCTGTACCATCAATGCTAAAACGTCCGAGGTGAGCTTAGATCTTGAAATTTCAAAGTAACACTTTAAAAGCTGCTAGTGGGTGTATACCTATTTGTTGCCAAGCAACATTGTGTTTTGATTAGGCATTGTTCATGCATCCACACAAAAGTTAAAGACTTTAAGGAGAGGCACCATGCTAAAATGGGCTGTGGGAAACCCTATTATAAGATTATTGTTTGATTATTTCCTTTCAGATTCTTGTAGCAAATGAAATGGCTTGTGATTTATTTGGCTATGATAAAAGTCAGCTGATTGGACGGAATTTGAAGGATATGATACAACTGAAATCATTGGATCAGATGTTTTTATCAGAATCTCATCTACAACTGAATGGAGATATTGTAGATATATCAGGCAAAGTTGTGAGTATTGGAGCTCATTTTGAGATTAATATAAAGATTTTTGTATATTTCTAATGTTACATATGAAATGGAAGGGTATTGCTGTGGGTTTAATGAATGTTTCCTAACATTCTGCACACAGAGATCCATCTACTTCATTCTTCGAGAATAGATCTCTGCCCTAAATGGCCACCATATCCAAAAATTAGTATCCGGTTCACAGCTGTCATACACACAAAGACTAAATAAACTTTTTCAATGTTATTAAATGGAAACAGAACAAATACTCAACAAAATCCTCGAAGTATATGTAGTGTTTTTGACGAAAATCATCGATTTTGGACTTAAAATGTCGGTCAACTGTAGACAGACAGCCTAAGTTTAGTATGGTATTCTATTCTAGTTTGATGTGACAGATAGCGATGGTATATCCATACCAGTATCATTGTGGGTTAAAAAACTTGATAATCAACATGATTCCATAGAAGAAGTAAAACCTCTACTAAAATGTCTGGTTGTCATGGAACCAGTGAAAAGAACAGTTGCGACAGTAACGTTCACAAAACAGGTACTTTATTTGCCAATCTGATTAAAACACAGACCTATTTCGTTTTGTTTTTTTATAGTTCAAAATTTTGTTTTACTTGTCTTTACTACACTAGGTTCTGGTTGAAGTGAGAGATTAGCCAATCCAAGTGTCTGTTACGACGACTTCTTGGCAAATGATGCACAGAACTGTGGATACACCACTAGAAACGTCAACACTGATCAATGTCTGACATCATAGGGTCAAAAGTCGTTCGTACAACCTCTGACGTGACCTTTTACTACCACCGGTCAGATCTTCATGTAGTGTAGGCCATCAAAAGTATTTTAAAAAAAATGAAACGAAATATAGATCTGTATTTTAATCAGATTGTTTATCTGCTTATACATGTAATTAAAAAAATTTAAACCATAGATGTCAATAGAGTTTCTCTGATATTTTCGGTAAGAAATCTGTACCTTTTCTGTCAATTTCTTATTTTGAATAGAACATAAAGGCGTGTTTTAATAACTACATTGAGGGGGTAGAGAACATTTACCCATTTCAAAAATACGGGACGCCACCATTTTTACCTTGTGGTGCTTGCAACATACGGTATCTAATCACCACACTAGTTTTCTTCTCTTCCATCTTCTGGATAGTTTGTATGTAACCGGAATTAGCCATTCTTGTCCACAACTTGATGAAACCATGGAGTTATGTTGGACTTTTTGTGTTTTAGGGTCGTATTGTATCATGTGATCACCAGATGGCGTTGATGTATGGATGTAGTAACATAAGTGATGTGATTGGTCTAGAGTTAAATCAGATGATACCTGCGATAAGATATCCTGTTGATGATACAATACCCAAGGTAAAATTCAATCTTGGTTCATCTATCTAAAGCTCACCCTTTTCAATAAAAAAAACTAACAAGGGAGGCAACCCAAATATTACCTCAATCTAGGGTATATCATGACCAACTGTGTGTTAAAATAAATCTCAATATATTGAAGATTACTTAGTTTTGTAGAAATGGGTCAATCTATAAATGTTCCCCTATTTCTATTCAGATGCAACTTGAATGACTAGACGCTCTTTCCTTGCTAGGTCCTCTCCTGCAGCTTTGACACGGTCATAAGAAGCTGGGAAAATCCAGAGGAACTTCCCCAGGCCACCACAAAGACTTCTGAATAAAACTATTTTATTTAAATTTCCAAAATATATTAAGGCTTACTTTTTTGATGTCCTACTGTTGTGAGGTCCTATTATTATTGTGGGTGCCTATTAGTCACTATCAAATGGGCACAAAACCAGACCCAACTTTTCTACAGTTTTTTGGGGGGGTTTTTGCGTAGAATACGATGCCTAGTGGTAATCAGTCCGCTGTTGGAGCATTTTCAAGATATTTGAGGTCAAATGAAATCATTTGCACTGAAAGTGAATACGCAGCCATTCTTGTATCATGAAAACATGCTGAAAATGATCGAATATCTCGAAAACGTGGACTGATTACCATTCGGCAACCTATTCTACGCAAAACTTTACTATAGAAAAGTTGGGTCTGGTTTTGTGCCTTGATGGACAACCCCCCGCACTGAGCCTCTGGTCTATATTGGATGTTGATAAAAGGTTAATTCTATATGTGTATTACAGGATGTAAGAAGTCAGACAGCTACAGGAAGAACAAAACATGGAGCCACATTTCCACTCAGTTTACAGATCTGTTCAACTAAAGAGATGTCTGATATTGAACCAGTTGTCCAAGATGGTGAGAATATTTAAAGAATCTGTCAGAGATTTATAATTCCACTATTAGTATTTCATTCCCAGGGTTTCTAAAAAAGCAGGTCTCTACTATAGGTATTGTTTTTGTCCTGCAATCATTTAATATATATAAATCCTGTAGTTCAAATGTCTAAATAATGCCTCAAACCTCAAAAGATATGTAAATAGCTTTCAATATTATGGGACCATTTATTAGTTTTTTTTAATTTTTATATAACAATATTGCTACTTTAATTCCACTTTATGGCATCAGAGACCAACATTGTCCTTTAATAAGAATATTGCTGTTTTATTTCAACTATATAGCAGTGGAGACAAACATTGTCCTTTAATAACAATATTTTTTGTTTTATTTCAACTATAAATTCCATAGCCCAACATTGTCCTTTAATAACAATATTTGTAGATGATGTAGAAGAAGAAAGTCTATATTATGGTATTATATGGGTGTTTGCTAATATTAGTGGCATGATATGCTTCCTACCTAATGGTAAAATACACAGTGTCAATGAAAGTATGGCCAGATTGCTTTTTGGTTTTCAGAAACAAGATTTAATTGGAAAAGTAGGTAGAAATATTTATTTTAATTTACAAATCTGCACCCTTGGAATTGTATGATTAATATATGTTAACCTGTGTGTTGTGGAGAGTAGGTCCTCTGTTGGAAAAGTAGCTAGTCATTCGTTAGATATGGTTCCATGCTCGTAAAAGAAACTTTGACAGTTAACATTTGGAATAAGAGCAGTTGAAGTAGGAAGTTAAATCAGAAAGTTTTTTGTCTCAGACTAAATGACTCTTGCCGAAATGATCCCTTTGTCTTATACGTGAGGCATGGTATATATATTCATGTAGGAACATTTGATACCACTCATATTTGAAATGTTCACATATTTGTTTTGTATTGTCAGGATATATCGATATTGATACCAGATTTATTGGATGTGATTGATGATGATGATAATGAAGATGATGGAATAGCACTGCCTCCTATTGATGATGAAATTATACTAATCCCAAAACCGATACCAAAGGAATCAAAAGGTAATTTATCTTCTTTGAGGTAAAAGCAATAGCAAAAGCTCAGTAATAGTCATCTTCAATAGAAGGCTTGATTTCACTTTCACTCTGTACGTCTTATCAAGACCTTAATGTAATACCCTGCATATTTCGGCACTAATTTCGATTGGGTACTCACCCTGCTTGGGAGCCTATCAGATTCCTCGATCATCGCGAATGTCAAGTCTAGCGCTTTCCAGCTAAAACATCTACCTGTGATAATTGAGTTGCAAAGTTCAAGGTTCGTTCAATGTCAAGGTTTCCGTGGAGGTCGCTATGTCACAACCTCTGATTGGACGATACTGTTCACGTGTCAGCAGATAATGTAGCTAGCCATAAGTTTGGGAATTATAAAGTAATCAAGCAACGTCCAGACTCCAGGTGTTGTAAAACTCGCAGTTGTGCTTCAGAAACATGAGTAATAGTAAATCATAGCACCATAATAGAATGAATGAAATGGGGTTTAACATCCTAATTTTCTGCACTGACCGGGCTAATGGAGATGATCACAGTTATTGTAAACAGTCACAGTTGTTGAAAACCATACCATAGTAATAGTAAATCACAGGACCTTGTTTTTTTGGAACATGTGTTTACCTTTCCATTGCCCCCATCCTGCACCATTGACATGGGTGAGTCACGCCAGAAAATCCCACTAAGGCTTCTCGACCAACATCTTGATCGAACTCGAACCCCAACATCTTACTCACCGAGCCACTGCAGCTCCTCATTAAATAGCAAAAGTGTCCTTGTAATCTATATTGTGATTGGTTCTTTTTTAAGCAGATAATTCAACATGCACACCCGACATATCATCAATACCTGTTGCTATTAGTCAAATCAATCAGCTGCATCTTGATACTGCCTTGGTTAAAACTTCCACACCAAATAAATCAGATACCTCTGTAGCGTAAGTAAACTTACTGTTTTAGCCGTCATTCCAGGTTTGGTTTATGTTGTTAGTATTGTGTAATAGAGGTGTAACTCTAACATTATTAATACACTGACTCAATCAAATCTGAAATGAAATAGCCAACATCCTACTTGTCTACACCAACTAATGAATATGGACATACCTGATGCTATCAATGAAATTATTGGAGGTATTTAGCATACCTGATGCTATCAATGAAATTATTAGAGGTATTTAGCATACCTGATGCTATCAGTGAAATTATTAGAGGTATTAAGATACTTGTCTTTTGTTGGTGAAAGTGACGTCACTTTTTTTTACAGTGTATTTACTCATTTGACTTATATCATAACATAGTTTGACTCGAATCTTAACAGACTTTGACTTTAATTGGGATTGAACATACTTCGAAATATACCATAATATACATTGACTTGTACACACGCAGTACCATAAAATACTTTGAATTATATCATTTATGTCATAACATAGTTTGACTTATGATGTCATAACATAGTTTGACTTAGGAAGTCATAACCTAGTTTCACTTGTAACATAGTTTGATTATATCAAAACAAACTTTAACTCCCTTGCCTCTCTTCACATGTGTGATTTTATTATGTTTTATTATTTACAGATCTACGGAAGAAAGTCCGAAATCTACAAAAGATGATTGTTTAATAGTCGAACATATAGATGACGATTCCATTAAGAATATCACAATCAACGATTCTATTGACCAATCAAATAACAATAATAGCGTGGAAATTGTTAGCGACGGACACATTAGTATTTCCTCCCAAGATACGTCTAAATCTAAAGTTGTTTCAATTCATGAAATAAACTCTTCAGGTAATGGCAGTAGTTTAACGGAGAGTTCCGTCTCAGCCGAAGAAAGTTCTGATGATGGAGTTAACGCAGATGTCAGTGGTGATATTGAATCAAGTTTTGGTTTGAAAGAGGGAAGCAACTCGAGTCTGAAGCAAAAAAATGCGAAAAATTGGACTGGATTAAATATGGCTCGAAAAAAGATGTTAGAGAAACTTGACACTAGTTCAAGTAGTACTGATAATTCACAACAGTTTTTAGACAGTAAATTAACAAGTTTTCTCCCCTTGTTATCAAAACAGCGTAACAACAGTCAGTTGTTTTATAACAGTGATACCCAGATAGATGACGAGTCAAGTTATTTCAGTCATGATAGTCAAGACACATACTCCAGTCCTTCCAGTCTTGAACACTCAACTGATCACAGTCCATCCTCGATGAACAATCAGAACAAGTGTAACAAAGCGAAACATAAAAGATCACTGAATATTTTAGAACAACACCAGTCTTTTAGTTTTAGTGGAACTGGTCAACATGCAGATGGGTGGAACATAGGCAAGTTTTCTTATTATAATTTATGACTTACGGGTTGAATAGGACTATAGTAGCTGAGCAGGCAGGCCTCTGGGCTATAAAATATCCTGGCTTTGAATTCTAACGTCGGCTGTTAAGAACATGCATGAACTGTTCCTAGTTGATCAGATGGGACAAGGTAAACTGAGGTCCACATGTGTATACATTGGTGTGCATGTGAAAGAACCCTTGACAGTTGGAAATCGATGAAGAGTAAGAAGAAATACCACTGTTTTACATTAATTTCTACAATCAACATACATGTTGATAATTGACTTTATTTCTACGTTTTGCTAAGTTAAGTATAAATGGATGACATTTCTAAAGATTGTAGTCAAGTTTATCCTGAAAAACAATCTGATTAAAATACAGATCATATTTCGTTTCGTTTTTTTTATAGTTCAAAATTTCATTTTACTTGTCTGTACTGCACTAGGATCTGTAAGAGTTGTTATCATTGACGTGTTATGGATGATATGAGAGATTAGCCAATGAAACCGTCTGTTAAGGCTAGCTTTTGGCATGAGGTGTACGGAACTGTGGGTAATCCACTAGAAACATCAATGCTGATTGGTTCATCAAATTTCTGATGTCATAGGGTCAAAAGCCGCACATGACCTGACGCGACCTCCCAAAACAACTGGTCAGATCTTCATGCAGTGTAGGCCATCGAAAGTATAAAAAACGAAACGAAATATAGATCAGTATTTTAATCAGATTTCCAGGAAAAGAAATGTAAGAAGACAATATTGAAAATGAAAGTTGTATTTTGTTTACAGGTATAATGTTTCAAGTAAAGAAAGTAGAATTAGGTGATGGCAGCCATATTTTCTGTATGTGGATATCCCGTGATCCAGAGGAACCCGGAGAAGGAGGACGATCGTACGCTAGTTTAACTCTTGCCTCTAGTTTCAACAGTACATTAGATCAGTCATTAGCTGGGTTAAGTTTAGGAGAGGTTTGTATCAAAACTATATCTCTTTTATTAACACGTACGATCGTACTATTGACTAAATTGATGCAGAATTGTTCAAAGAAGAAGCATGCCAATTTTCATGTCGGTCGGACTTGAATTCGCGGAGCCTTAGGCTTTTTCAAAGAGCATCACCCCAAGAACAAGATGGGTAGCGGTTAGCGACAAGTTCCTGGTCCCATAAAATATATTACTTTGACCAAGTAAAATACTATTTATGGATTACAATTACTACGGTTTATTTCTCTGCAACGTTTCAAAAGAGCAGTATGAATTATCCACACTTCTCTTTTATATAACTATGTCCTTCTTTGATCTATCATTTCATCTTATTTATGTTGATATATACTTGATCACAACTTAAGGAGCCACTGTGGATAGGACGCTGGCTCGCTAGTCTGGAGGTTGCGTGTTTGATCCCTACATTGGCGGAGAAAGTTCATGTGGTTTCCCCTTGTCAGTGGTGCAGGACGTGGGGGGCCTGACAAGGACAGCCGTAGAGTCATTCGGATGGGACCAAAAACCGAGGTCCCTTGTACACATTGGCATGCATGTAAAAGATCCCTTGGCAGTTGGAATTCGATATAAGGGTAGGCCATAGTGCCACCGCCCGGGCAGAATTTCCCTCATAGCACACTGTATGACGTATGTGCCCAGTCAGAGCAGAACAGTAGGAAGTTAAACCCCATTTCATTTCAGATTACAACTTGTGAAATCTTGTTTAAACGTTGTGATAAAGTAAACAACAATAATTGCTATCCATAAATAGTGTTTTATTTGATTATGTTCCAATTACTAAATGCCATTCAAACAATATATTACTTCGACATTTGGGATCATAAATTATCATAAATTTTGGATAGGGACTTTTCGATAGTGATCTTGGATTTAGCACAAATGACTTGGTGCCCCTTCCCAATCTATAAATGTATGTTTACTGTAATAAACTATAAAACATACTTATGGAAAAACAATTACTGATTTATTTAAGCAATGTTTCGAAGAGTATTCTCTCAACGTTATCAAGCTAAGAGAATACTCTTCAAAATGTCGCCTAAATAAATCAGTAATTTTTCTTCCATAAGTATGTGTTATAGTTTATTGCTCTGTCCAGATACTAAATGCCTCTAAAAGAATAGTATGTTTACTGTCTTTGTGATTTATGAAATGTATGATATTGCAGGTTTTATGTAATAAAGCTAACTCGGAATCAAAGATAGAAGATACTACAGAGGATGAGAAGAAAATAATTGATAGTAAATCACCAGAGTTTGGTCAATACAGCCAGAATTATGATACGTTGATGTCTATTGGTAAAGGAGCATTTGGTTTCGTTAAACTTGCACAACGACAAACAGATGATTTACAGGTATGTCTAACAAAATGTTTTTTAGCACACCTTTCATCAGGTGATAATGGGGGGGGGGGGAATGGCCGAATGGTTAGGGTGTGCAGGTTGTAACATAAGGTATGTCTTGAGTCAACCATGGTTTTGATTCCCTGGTTGTAGGGTCGTCTGTCCAACCTCGTGGATTTTCTCCGGGTCCTCCTTTTTCCATCCCACTGCTAAAAGACCCTTAGGTGCAAGCGAATTATTGAAATAAAATTGAACCATATGTTAGTCCCGAAGCTACCTAGTTTGTGTCGGGTGGACGTTAAACCCCATTTCTCTCTCTTGCCAGGCCCTTTCGTTCTACATCACTAACAGGGGTGAACCATGCCGGAAAATTCCAATGAATTTTCTCGTCCAACGCAGGGATTAAACACAGAACCACCCGGTTAGCGAGCCAACGTCCTACTCATTGAGACACCGTGGATCCCCTTTCATTGGGTGCTACATGACATTTTGCAAACAGAGAACTATCTATTTTGAAAATTGATCTCAGCCCCGAATTGCCACCATATTGAAACATTAGTGTACTAGCTATCTGTTACATCTTTCATACCCACAAAGACCAAATAAACATTTTCGATTTAATTAGATATGATAATAGAAGCATACTTAATGTTTTTTTTACTAAAGTCATTGATGATTGATTAGAAAGCTTTGTGTCTGTTTTCAAGCAGAGCTAATTGTAAACAACTGCATGTAGTCACTGACTTTATAAAAATTCAAATAATTGATTTTACCTTCAATATTGCTGTTAGCCTCTATCACACAACTCATAACTGTTTATGTCTACTATGACAAGTGAATGTTTGAGTGGGTAACAGAAGCTATGTGCTGGTGGTGGGCATAGAAGAAAAAGCTTCCTTTGTGCATTTATTTCTACAATCGACATACATGTTGATTAGGGCTGGGTATCGATAGTGATTTTTACTATCGATAATCGGCAATGAAATGTCGGTCGATAATCGATAGTATTGAAAACAAACTTATTTTCACGGTCGTCATCAAGACTGGATACAGTGTAAGTTCAAAGTTCAAAACCATACGAAGTTGCGAAAGATCGTTTGCTCCTGTCTAAGGAGATTTATTTGGAAAACATTAATAAAACTTGTTATATCACATATATATACGTAAATTGATGTTGTTTATTATTAAAATAATGCAGCCGTGGTTCCGAATGAAGAAATATCGTAAATAATTATGTTAAGGGACCAAAATATCAATATGGCAGACGAATTCTGAAGCTTGCAAGGGGAAATAACTCTATCTTTATTTACACATCCGGGTATCTCCGATTTAGCGATATTCAACAATAATTTCTTCAAAACTAAAGTAACGTTTCAATGAGAGTGAATTTATGAAAACGGCTGTTCAATAAGCAGTCACAATTTTGTTATGTGTTACATTGATACTTGATAGTAATTAAAGTGAGCGGTGTATTATGATTAACTGAAAGAAAACATTGACATTTCAGATGTAAGAAAAATAGACGAAGAGCGATAATCGATAGTAACCCACCGCTATCGATAGTGCTTTTCTGGGCTGTCCAATCGATACTATCGATTTATATCGATATTTTACCCAGCCCTAATGTTGATAGTTTACTTATTTCAATGTTTTCCTATACTGAATATAAGTATACAGGTCACAATTCTATGGAATACAATTACTGCTTTTTACTGAGCGACGTTTCGACTAGCTTCTCTAGTCATTATCAAGCAATGATAAAATATAAAAATACTCCAGTTCAATTACTAAATGCCATCGGAACAATTTATCAGATATCAGTATGGAGATGTGGCAGTCAATCTCATTGATCAGATATGAAGAACAGAACGAAAATATGTACATGTATGTAATAATAAATATTGTTGTGTACATGTATATATTGCCATGTCATATTTTCATATTTTATCATTGCTTGATAATGACTGGAGAAGCCTAGTCGAAATGGGTCGTTCAGTAATAAGCAGTAATCGTATTTCATAGAATTGTGAGCTGTATTCTCCAGTTCAATTACTAAATGCCATTGAAACAATGAATATAAGTGGACGACATTTCTACAGGTTGTAGTCAAGTTTATCCAGAAGAAGAAAGTAAATAAAGAGAGTTGGGTTGTGGATGAATCTGATGGTCGTATACCACTAGAAGTCAGTCTGTTACGTAAATTACACCATCCTAACATTATACAGGTTAGTTCATGTCTTTATATATTTTATTTTTGTCAAGAGTTATGTGGTCCAAAAAATATGGTGTTCCTAAGAAAATTGACTTTTTGAATGTGTTCACAAAAATGACTTTGAATCCTTACGTTAGCTTAGAAGATCCTTCAAGATTTTTCTAACCCTGTCTACACGTGTCATGAGTGGCACCTGTGAATTTGACTAGGAAAGAGTCTTGTGAACCCCTTTCGGCCCATGCAAAATTCTCCTGCTTTCCATGTCACACACAACTATAGACATAAACAAATTGGAAAGGACATCTTTTTCTATTTTGGCACCAAATCAGTTTAACCTCTAGTGTTATAAATCAGATCGAGATTTGTGATCCGAATACTTTTGTTGACTATCCGACGTGCCTACCTTTAGCCGCAATTATTAAGACTATCCATGATAACCCAAAAAATCAATGAGGTGAATAAATTTGTGTATAACTACTCCTGTAATCTGCGGCCCTCCCACTTATCATTTTTGCTCAATCAACATGAATGATAAAAGTAAAAAAAAAAACATGTGCGATTTATTCTGCCAAGGTCTTTTGTCTCATTCTGATAATCTACTACTATTGAACCAATCAGTGAGTGGGAATATACGTGACCTAGGTCGTTATGAATAAATTTCATTGCGGGAAGTCAAAACACGGTCTAAACTCGTATGCTGTAAACTAGCGCAGGGAATGAATGAATATTTTTTTTATTTAGACTATTGTTTTCTTTGTACTGCATTAATAATTTGATTAGTTACTATCACTAAATAATACGCATAATGTTGACATTTATGCTCAGAGCTACCTACGTGATCAATTGCATTGGGGAAAATTTCAAAAGTAATCAAATGTAAAAATGGCTAAATATAGAGCACACGGAATGTCAGAATATATTGTAACGGATAGTAAAATGATTCGAATAACCCTTATTTTGTATCCGTTAACGAATATCCGAATAGTAGTTTCAACACTAATAACCACCCCCCACCCCCTTTCTGACACATGTATTAATTGAAATCATGTGATTATATTATAGATAATAGATGTGTATCAAAATGATGTTTTTATACAAATGGTGATGGAGAAACATGGTAGTGGTATGGATTTATTTGAGTTTATAGATCGCTGTCCACAGATGGATGAAGCTTTAGTTAGTTATATGTTCAGACAGGTAGGTCATGTCTATATTTTATAAAATCAGAAAACATCCAAGGTAAAGTTCAAAATGCCTAATTTTATGATAATGGTCTATCTGTTTCTTTTAATCATCCTTCTGTTTCACTCTTCTAATGAAAGATTGATGATGATGATGACCAGAGACAAGCTTATTATTGGTTACAACATAGGTATCATTATCGGCGCGCTCCAATATTTGTTGAATAGGTCATTTATACTGATGTTTGGACCGATATTTAATTGTTGTTATCAGTATTTGTATCTGTGACCGAGAAAGTTCATCCAGATTTTCCAGCGTGGTTTCCCCTTGTCGGTGGTACAGAACAAATGGAAGTTTATTTTATCAACAATGTAGGCTAGGTTTGGTTTATCATCAATCTAGGTATAATTTATCGACATTGTAGATTTAATTATCAACATTGTAGATTTAATTATCAACATTGTAGATTTAATTATCAGCAGTGTAGATTTATCAACAATGTAGATTTGATTATCAACAATGTAAATTTAATATACTAACTCTCTAGGATTAATTTATCAACATAATAGATTTGCTTTATCAACAATGTCAGTTTCAACAATTCCTAGGACATTGTTGAACTTATCAACAATGTAAGTTTTAACAATTCCTAGAACATTGTTGAATTTATCAACATAGTTTATTAACAATGTAAGTTTGAACGCTTCCTAGAACACTGTTGAATTTATCAACAACATAGGTTTAATTTATCACCACTGTGTAGGAATTTATCAACAATGTTTGCAACAATGTAGTTTCAATTCATCAACAAATGTAGGATTAATTTATCAACAATGTAGGGTTAATTTATCAACAATGTAGGGTTAATTTATTAACAATGTAGTTTTAACTTATCAAAAATGTAGCTTTAATTTATCAATAATGTAGTTTTAATTTATCAATAATGTAGTTTTAATTTATCAAAAATGTAGGGTTAATTTATCAAAACTGTAGTTTTAATTTATCAACAATGTAGGTTCATTTTATTTATTTGATGTGTTTTAGATGGTGTCTGGTGTATCATATTTACACAGTTGTAATATTTTACATCGGGATATTAAAGATGAGAATATTATATTGGATGAGAAATTTAACATAAAACTCATAGACTTTGGTGCTGCAGCTTACATGAAAGAGGGAAAATTATTTGGAACTTTCTGTGGAACTTTGGAATATTGTAGTCCTGAAGTCATCAGTGGAAATAAGTAAGTTATAGTTAGGATATTTTCACAGGTCCCAAACTTTGACTTCGTTGTTTGTCAAGACATGTACACAAGTCATGATGCAGGGGGCAAATGGTCAAACTTGTGTGCTTTGAATTAAAAGGTCTTGCCATTCAGTCGAGTGACGTTGTTTTGATCTCAAACTTATATGAGTGGGATCCCCTGCATAAACGCATGTGTTTTCACCCGGTTCTCTGATTGCTGGGCCGCCACGGGGGCGAAGTGAGTAAGACTCTAGCCCGGAGGTCACAGGTTCGATCCCGGTATTGGCAGAGAAAGTAAATCAGGTTTTTTTTCCGGTGTGGTTTCCCCATGTCAGTGGTGCAGGACAAAGGGTCTGACAAGGACAGCTGTCTAGTCGTTTGGAGTTGACGACAGCACGTAAAAGGTCTCTTAGCAGTTGGAATTCGATATAAGAAATAGTGCTACTGTCTGGGCAAAATTTCCCTCATAGCATACTGTATGGCGAACTTGTGCACACTCTACATATAAGCATCCAACTGTGTTTGGGGGATGTATTGGTGTAAAATGTTTTGGAAATATTAATATTGCTGTTAATATGTTGTATTTTAACTATAAATTTTGAACAACTCTTTTAACAGATATAGAGGACCTGAATTAGAAATCTGGTCCATGGGTGTTACGCTGTATACCCTTGTGTTTGGTGAAAATCCATTTTATGATGTTGATGAGACACTGGCTGGTATTCTCAATCCACCCTGTCAACAGTCTAAAGGTATTAACGGAATATTCCTACATACATGTATAGTTTAGTAGAAGTCGTCAAGTCTTGAAATAGGACACCTGTTGTAGACATTGTCATACACAGTTTTCATCTTTTTCATGTATAACTACTCTCTAGTGATTGTCATACATCCTGGCACAGATTTGGCTTTTCTCCTGGTGTTGGCCGAGAAAATTCATCAGGATTTTCTGGCATGATTTCGCCATGTCTAGTTGTTTGGATGGGACATAAAACTGAGGTCCCGTGTACACATTGGTGTGCACGTAAAAGATCCCTTGGCAGTTGGAATTCAATATAAGAGTAGGTTGTAGTGCCACTGTCTGGGCAAACTTTCCCTCATAGCACAATGTTTGGCGTATGCCCTTCTTCATTACCCCAGCCAGAGAAATAGGGCGTTAAACTCCATTTCATTTCATTTCCTTTATCTGCCAACTAGTATAATGAAGAGGGGCATGTGCCATACAGTGTTCTATGAGGGAAAATTTGCCTGGACAAAAATAATTGATTTTACGTACATGCCAAGGTGTACACGGGACCTATTTTTTTCTTCCCTATTCGAACGACTCTATTCCTTTATCTATTACAGGTCTGATGTATTTAATATCATGGATGTTACATGTTGATCCAAAGAGTAGAGCTACTATACAGGATTTAGAAGAGAATGCATGGGTTAATCAAGATATAGATATCAACTCATACAGCTGGCAAGAAGTTCTACCCAATTGCGGTAAGATATAAGACCATGTTGGGTGGGTATTAGTAATTGTGGTAGGAGGCAGGGATTAGTAATTATGGTAAGACTCGATATAGGGAAGGGGGGGGGGGGGGCTAATGATCTAATGCATGCTCTGTACATCACAAGGTTTGACATTGAGTCAGATGGCATGGTTTTGATTCCTGTTCATTCTCATGGGTTTCTAAGGGTCCTCCGGTTTCCTCCCACTGCTAACACTAGGGACAGGGTATCATTCAGATTTGATGAAAAAAGGAAAGAAACTGAGCTTACCATCTAGAATCTAATACTTGTATCCAATAGATTGCCATCCAGAAAGTATTAAAAGCCATCAAGATTCATCAAAAAAAAACCGCCTAGTTTCTGCTACCGTGTAGTTTAAGAAACACTGTTTAGTTTTGACATTGGTTGTCTAGTTTATGACCATTTAGTTTAGTTTTGATATTGGTCGTCTGGTCTATGACCATTTAGTTTCATAAACTAGACCACCGATGTCAAAACTAAACAGTGTTTCTTAAACTACATGTAGCACATACTGGGCATTTTTTGATGAATCTTGACGACGGCATTTAACACTTTCTGGATGGCAATCTATTAACTGGATACGAGTATTAGATTCTAGATGGTAAGCTCAGTTTCTTTCCTTTTTTCGTCAAATCTGAATGATACCCGGTCCCTAGTGTAGAGCATCCTACATGCAAGTGAAATATTGAAATAAAATTGAACCAATATGACCAACTTTGTGTTGAGTTGATTTTTTACCCTCTTTCTATTATTTCAGAATTTACAGGAAATACAGCTTGTGACAATAGAGGAGATGTTTCTGATGATAGCCAACTAAATAACACCGATCACACGGCTTCAACATCACTTTGCTTAGATCAACTGTCTATTAATGATGACCAATATTTTTGAGTTTATTATCAAATTATTGATGTAAAGGAGCAGTTCCAGATGGAACAGGACCTTGTTCATATAGACAATTTTATCCAATCACTCATGCCATTTGAGATTATTATTATTATTATTACTACTATCACTACCCCTACTACTACTAGTGCTACTATCTACTACTACTATTAAGTGCTATTACATGTACTATTATTAACAACAAATACAGAAGTAATTAATGCTATTATAAGACATTTAATCACTGGAAATATTATTTTTATACGCCCACATTGAAATGTGGTCGTATATTGTCGTCACCCCCGTCCGGCGTCCACAATTGCTTGTGGACGCTCTAGAGGCTAAAGTTAATATCCGATTGACTTTAAATTTATACACAGTGTTTAAGGTCATGAGACGAAGAAGCCTATTGATTTTCAGCGATTTCCAATAATTACTGCCAGAGTTATGGCCCTTGATCGCTTCAAAAAATCTTGTGGACGCTCTAGAGGTCAGAGTTAATATCCGATTGACTCTAAATTTATACACAGTGTTTAAGGTCATGAGACGAAGAAGCCTATTGATTTTCAGCGATTTCCGATAATTACTTCCAGAGTTATGACTCTTGATCACTTCAAAAAAATCTTATGCACGCTCTAGAGGTCAAAGTTAATATCCGATTGACTTTAAATTTATACACAGTGTTTAAGGTCATGAGACGAAGAAGCCTATGGATTCTCAGCGATTTCCGATAATTACTGCCAGAGTTATGGCCCTTGATCACTTTGAAAAATCTTGTGGACGCTCTAGAGGCTAAAGTTAATATCCGATTGAGTTCAGATTCATACACAGAGTGTAAGGTCTTGAGACAAACAAGTATATTGATTTTCAATGAATTTTTATGACTTGAACAGCTAAATCCATGATGTTAAAAGTTTCCTATACTAGACGTTAGCATTGGGCAAAACTTTATAAAAACCAAACAAATTCTAATGGTTTTCTGATAATTACTTAATGAGTTGTTACTCCTAATCAGATTTTAATGTATTATAAATGTTTCATTACCGAAAAAAGTAAAACAGCTAAATCCATGATGTTAAAAGTTTCCTATACTAAATGTTAGCATGGGGCAAAACTTTATAAAAACCAAACAAATTCTAATGGTTTTCTGATAATTACTTAATGAGTTGTTACTCCTAATCAGATTTTAATGTATTATAAATGTTTCATTACCGAAAAAAGTAAAAATATGTGACGACTCTTGTTGACTGCCCGGAACGAGTTAGCTGCTGTGGGCGTATGTTTCGTTGCCTGGCAACCTATCTTTGATGTGTTTAAAACTTTAGTAAAGGATTTAATGGGACTCCCCAGATATATAGAATGTCAATTTGATTTTCTAAAAACAAACTTATACAATCATTGTGTTAGATTTACCCAAAGCTATGTTCAATACAGATTTATGAGATCATCTGTTCAAACATGAACACTTTTATCTGCAAATATGGGGCAATATGGCATTTGCAATAACCAGAGAAAAATGAATTTTATACATTTAAATTGGGCAGCAAGCAATATAGGTATATTGTCAATTAGAATATACCCTTGAAAATCCACCAAACATAGGAGTTATTTGTTCAACCCTTGCAAAATGTGTAGGTGGGCGGGGGTCCTCCAGTTTCCCCCACACTGCTAAATATTCATACACGCAAGTGAATTATTGTATTAAAAGTGAACCATATGTTAGTCCTGAAATGGCCTAGTTTTTGTGTTTAAGTGAAGTTGAAACCAAATTTCTTTCTCTTTACAAAATGTGAACCATTATGGTGTTAAAATACCCTACATAAAATATAAAGCAAACGACGATTTTTATAATTAATCAATACTTGGTTGGTGCTGAAAAGTTAGGCATAACCCTATTTAATTTCCAAAGGAAGACAACAAACGGAACCAGATTGACTAGTCAAAGAATTCAATAAAAAATATATTTTGGTCCTTTGTCAATCGGAGCCATGATAGCTGACTGAATAAGGCGCTGGCTTACTAACCATAGGTCCCCAAATTCAGTGTGTTAACAGAGATTCCTTTAAATTTTCGTGCGTGTTGTCCCCTTGCCTGTGGTTCAGAGCAAGGGCCTGGCATGGAACCGTGTGTAGTTGTACGATATTCACTGCACCCTTGACAAACGGAAATCGACGAAGAGTGTAGAATGAAAAAACGGGTGTAGACGTTGACGTGCATGATAAGAACACTTGACAGTTTGATGGAAAGTAGCGGAAACTTTGCTGTCCGGGCAAAATTCCCCATATAACTTTTGCCCGTCTTCATTAGCCGGGCTGGTGCAGTTAAACACCATTTGCTTGTTATCTGTTAAAACCAGTTTATAATCGGAAGGAAAAGTTACATATGGTAACGCAGATATTCAGGGTCTTATTCTTGTAAAATTATGGACATTTGGGGTAGGCCATATCTTATTCTTGTAAAATTACAGACTACCAGTTATAGATACATTAGTTAAGAGTTTAATAAAGAGTTGGCCATTCTTGCTATAATAATTAAAAAATAGATGATAAAAAAAGAAAATATTGAAAATTTCTGTCAAATTTCTGGAAGTTTGGACTAGAGATAGGCATCAACTGTGTCTGCACTGTCTACGAGAATTTCCGGAGAATTTCCGATCGTTTGATCAACAGACGATAACTCAACCCACATATTCTCAATTATCAAGTAACATTCTCAGTGGCGATAACTCAACCGAGATATTCTCGATTATCAAGTAACATTCTCAGTGGCTATGGTACCATCGCTTGGTAGGCCTTTCTCGCCAGTTTCCGGTAGTGACGTCATTGACTAACGGTAAACGTTAGCTTGGTGGGCCATTTCTTGATTTAATTTTAAATGGACAACTGTTTAAATCCAAGCTGTATCCAAGCCATCCGAGGGTCTACAGAGTTGATTTTGAGCTTGTCATGTAAATAAAGGTCTAATTAATAATTTCTATAACATCTGAAGCCTAAATAAAGATTTGCAATAGGCAGATTTAGCTCTTACATAATGTATGTTTATGTTATTCATGTAATATTACATGGTAACCTGGCTACTAGATATATCTTATTTCTGTAACATTACATTTAACTAAGATATTCAGAATATCGTGTATATCTAATTCTTGTAAAAAGTTAGGTATATCTATATTTGTATACAAAAAAGTGTATCTATAAATTTGTAATATATTCTATTTAATTAAACGTTGCATAATCTGGTTCATATATAGATGAAATAAAGGATTCTATATATTTCTTATGTATTATAGTTTTCTGAACTGATATACCATCCCATTTAAATTTTACCGCCAACCTCCTTAAAATTGTACATTTTTGACTTCTTGGTGGATTTTAGCTAAATTAGTGAACATGGGGTTCCGACATGGGGTTGAAATTAAAGAGAAAATTTAAACATTTTGGACCGATCCTCAACTACAGGTGGGGGAAGGGGCTCACTAGTCTCCCATTATACAAAATATTATAAATATAGCTTCAATAATGAACGTTTTATTATTGCGTTTACTCAATCCATATTGCCTGCTCAAAGTACATGAAAGATAATGGCTAATCCTGATATTAACTCACAACTGAGCTTGCATTTGAACACAGCTAATGTTTGTGAACTCTGTATCTCAGGGTTGTTCAGCAGACACTGGAGATTTCACAATAACTCTAACCCGCGCACAAGAGAGCATTCCCCGGTGACCTAAGGGGCCTTAGCATTGGCACTTACACTAAGTTATACAATGGGAATAATCTATGTCGCCAAATTGATATTCCGATTGTCCAAATGTTCTCGGAGGAGGCTATGCAAATTACAGACATTGCCAGGAAAATGTGAACCTGCTGCGTGATGCAAAGCATTTTGGGGAAATCGTCCATTGTCTTGAGACAAGTTTTAAAATGGGACCTCAACAACTGACTTTAGCGAATAGATGGCATGTTATTGGAATCAGGAAGGTTGGGATGTCATAGAGACAGCTTGCCGGCAGATGGGTAACTATATAATCTACAACCCTCTTAAATAAAGTCATTTTTATTATTATCTGCGGACCATTTGTCGATTATTGAGAAAACGTCAACAGACTAACGAGCTAAAGGACCTTCAACGTTCGGGCATACCTCGCAGTAGCCTACGTCTGCAATGCATGAGAAGCGGCTCTTTTGTATGGAACATCAAATGGGACAATATTCATGATTCTTGTTTCTACATTCCAGTTTGAACATTTTAGACACGAACGCAACATTCTACATTCTTATGTCAACATTTCATTATTACACCAGAGGGCGTTAGCGTGTGTGTACAACTTTGATACAGACTATAGATTAGAAATCAAAAGTAGACTTTTCCACGAGTGGAAGTTGGCAGGGCTGGGGCCATTACATTGCCAATGTAATTAATTACATTACCATTACTTTTTAAATGTAATCATTACAATTACTTTATCATTTTTAGCAATGTAATTTATTACCATTACCCATTACATTGAAAGTAATTAATTACCATTACCCATTACTTTTTATGACTATATAAATAAAAAAACATTTTCATAGAAATTAAAAAGACATTATTTTTCTGCCATGAAGTACCTACAAAATCAAACTCAAAATAATCCTTGATTCACTTAATAGATATTTGTTTATGAATTATTATTTCTAGCAATTATAACATCAAGGCAAATTTTATAGTGACGGGCAGTGGTGACAAAAACTGACATTTTCACTGTATGACTTGAAAAATGAATCAAAACTATAGTTAATTAACTGTATTTTCTTTTAAGTAATTTTTTAAAATTTTTAATCAGTCCAAATAGTTTTTCTATAATATATTGTATAATAAATGGTAAATTATTCAGCCTGATTCTAAAACAAAGTATATACTAGACTTGCCTGCAAGACTGAAGGCTTTCACCGTGCCAAGGCGTCACACGATCGCCAGATGCATGACAAAAGACTATCCCCACCTCTCACCCCCTAAACAAACACACACTCCCCCACCCCCCAAATAAAAACACACATTTGCATAACTCAGATATTGACATGTTCTTTGCATGCGCAAATGGAAAAAGAACAGTTTCGCGAAATGGACGAAAAGCAATGTCGCAATAGATATTAATATCAAAGTAAAATGACATGGGGTTTAACGCCATTCTGCTCGGAATGGACCATGAGGAATGTTTCGAACGTACAGCGGCGCTAGCCTACTCTTATATACAATTCCAACTGCCAAGGGATCTTTTAGTCACACCAATGTGTATGCGGGACTTCGGAATCGCGTTCATGTCAGCTACTGAAATATGTAACTGGTTCAAAAATTAAATATCGCCAATTTTCTGGTTTCGTGCACGTTAAAGATTTGACGTCACTAACATGTAAAAGTTTACTATTAATTACAGACAGAGTCCAGGATCAAACAACTGAAGCAGTCAAGAGCCAGGATGTTCGCGACTACTTTGTTTTTTTATATTTACTGATACTATCATATTTCATTATTTGTTAGCGTAGGACATTGTCATTTATATATATACTAGCAGGATACCCGGCATCGCTCGGGGGTCATAACTCCGAAACCTGAATTGGTAGACTAACGCCACCTGGCCTATGTTACTCCCCAGTCCGAGCTACCCCTATACCCCAAATTTCAGACTCGGGGCAGACCTAGTGTATCCGCCAACCCCGAACAGACCGGCTTCGCTCGGGGATCATAACTCCGAAACCGGAAGTGGTAGACTAACGCCACCTGGCCTATGTTACTCCCCGGTCAGAGCTACCCCTATACCTTAAATTTCAGACTCAGGACAGAACTAGTGTAGCCGCCAACCCCGAACAGAAAGACTTCGCTCGGGGGTCATAACTTCGAAACTGGAAGTGGTAGACTAACGCCACCTGGCCTATGTTACTCCCCGGTCCGAGCTACCCCTATACCCCAAATTTCAGAC